TAGGGGGAGGAGGGATTGAAAGAAATATAATTTCTTATAAATTGAACTGTGAAAGTTTTATTCTAACTACATCATAAAAATAATAAACAAGTTAGTAGAATTATAATGTTCAGATATGGATATAATTAGAATTGAATAAAAATAATTATTACAATGGTTACTTGGAAATAAATCCTTATCTCTAAAGTTTTCATAAAATGAGAAAAATAAAATAAAGTTGTACTTTAATGATAAGCACTAATGCAACAAGATCACATTTATCATTTAGGTAAAGTATTCATCTTAATTACATCACAGTGTGTACGATTTTTACTTACAGTAAGGGTCAAGGAAAACAACTATGATTTTAAATTTATTTTGTATTATCAGAAATGGTTTTGTGGAGATTTTAGTAATTTTATTGTTGAATTCATGAGTCAACTGAAGCTAGGCGATTATGGAAAACCCGGAAGCACTGGACAGCCGTTTCGTTCTAGTATGGGACTTCTCAGCAGTGCGCATCCACAATCCCGTCTCCTCCCGCTAGATTCAAACACAGGACCCATCAATCTCGCGCGCGACCGCTTAACCACTAGACCACTGCGCCGGCATCCAACGGTGTTAATGTATAACTTCAACTAACCCACGAAGTTGAGTAACACATCCACCATTGTCTTCAGTGAGCTGATATGTCACAAGAGATCTGATTGAACTCCACTGGTAACGGCTTCTCACTAGAACTTTGGGAAATATCTCTTGAAGTCAGTCATTAGTGAGCATTTTGAACTTAGAATAAGATCTTTGTGAAGTTCTATTACTGTAGAAACTTTTTTTTCTAATTTTGAAAATGCTCCAGTATCTAGTTCTTATTTATTCCATCATAGGACACATCATGTAATCTTATTTTATTCTTGTAATAAACAGAAAAGAATCCTTTTTTAAAGAAGTAATATTAGTCATCACAAATCTAGACATATTATACTACACATAACTGAAATATATAAGATGAGCTTCCCTTTCAGCAACGAACTCTTATCACTAATGGAAAGTGGAAGATATTAAACTACTTGTAACATAGATAGCAAACTACATTTATTCCTATCTATTGACTATTACGTACCAACTGATCAGATAAGATTATTTTACATGGATCATCATTTCTACCCTTAGACTAAACATGAAATAATCTTCGTCAGCTAATGATAGGTCATGGGTTCGGATTTCGGGGGGGGGACGGTATCGTTGATGCGCACTGTTGAGGAGTCGCATACTAGAACGGAACGACCGTCCAGTGCTTTCAAGTTTTCCGTGGTCGTCTAGGTTCAATTGATTCATGATTTCAACTATTGGAATTTCTTTTTTTAACACGTGAAATATTCATTAACAACAAGTATAATTATGAATATGAAATAGAATAAGAGTAGATAAATGAGATAGGCATATGAAAATTTTCTAGGTATATACGTAGGCGTAAACTTCATTTAGTAACATCATGTTTTATTCTTAAAATACTGTCACGCCTACAATACTTATAGAAAAGAGAGGGAAATTCAATGTCTCTCATTGTTCACATCTTTTTTTATCCCATTTTTTTCAGCATTACTTTTATTTTAATGATCATTGTAAAAGTAATACACCACATAGTATGTTACGATCCCTTGGTGAATATATATATATATATATATATATATATATATATATATATATATATATATATATGTCTGTATAAGTAAAACAAGGAACTAGGGAGATCATGTATATGTTTCTATGAATTATGTATAATTTTATTTAATTTACTTAATTAGCTAAAAACAAAATACACTATGTTAATGTATTTCTTTTTCAGAGTAAAGTGTCAACGAATAGTTGCCATGCGTTTAACTGTTGTAAAAAGAAATTGGTTGAACTTATAATAGTATTTTAAGTCATTTTTTTCTCTTTGAAATAATATAAAATCATTCAAATGACAACAACAAGTATATCTCTATCATATTACATTTGTAGACAAAAAAGTGATAAATTGTATTTTATCGTAAGAGATAGATCCTATTCAATAAGTAGTAATCGATAACTAACAGTACAATTTATCATTTACAGTCTATAATTAGTAATATTACATTTGTTTTTATCATTTATCATTTGTAAATGAAATAATTTAGATTAATGTAAGTGATGATAGATGTATGAAATTGTCTACTAGTTCATAAAGAAATTAATGAGTATGTTCATTTGAAAGATTATTCAAAGATTATTTCAATAGTTTGATAAACAAGGTATAATCTATTGTTGTCGTTTTATAATAGTTTATATTTAGGATTGTTAGATCCCTAAAACTCACTTGATAGATGTTTTATTTTTGTAATTTTATATTAAAAATTCGAATTTTCGCGCCAAAAGTGCTCATTTTTATCTTCATGTCATATTTCCAACTTTAAAAAATTTTAAAGGTAAAAAACAAGAAATGAATTCATCTTGACAGCTAGATTTAATGAAATCCAGAATGCGCTTTTCGTTCTATATGGGACTCGTCAGACGGGCGTGCCTGCATCTGAGTCAATGTTCACTCCGGGACTCTAACCTGACGCCAACGCGTTATCCAATTAACTACTGAGTTCTGATGTATATATATATATATATATATATATATATATATATATATATATATATATATATATATATATATATATATTCTAACAGTTCGTATTACTCAACTTTCTACCAATCAAAAAATGATATGAACTTCAAATTTTACATCATTTGTAAATTATGAGAAACCTTGGAGTCAAGAATGTCTCATATCTTAATAAGCCTGTGGCTACACTGAACCGTGATGGATAGTATTTTTTCAACTCCAGCGAACATTAAACATTACATCAAAAACTGGAAAATAACGGCGAATCCTAGAAAATTATTGATTTATATTCATGTTACTGAATAATTTAAAAGTAGTACATGGACAAAGGATAATGTATATAGAAATTTCAACAGATATTTCTACATTTGATGCGTTCATGACCAACTATACTGAAGTTAAAAAATAATTCTAAAAGTATTTGTTTGAAATTTGGACAGTTTTTGAAACCAAAATATCCTGAAATAAACTTGACTTCATTTAAACGTATGGTTTAAACAAAAAATAATCAAGTGTATTAAATTGGAACTACAACGTTTCGATTGTTAACTAGGATCAAAATTTCTAAAAATTAACTGAATAATCGAAATGTTAGTACGGTATGCGCCACAAATGTATTTTTCACAATCATTTAACGTCATCAGATAGACACGCTTGGTTCAGATAGATATCTAATTCTCGATTAATATATTATTCCTGATGCATAAATAAGGTAGTAGAGAACTCACTTGTATGGTATTACAGATTATAACCATAATTTATAAAAATCCACATCAGGATTTTTTTATGTGTATTGAATCATAATCAGCCATTTAGTGTATAAGTCATCCTTCTATTAAGAATTCAAAATAATGAGCATTAATATTGATCAATTCAGGGTCCAAAAACTGTAAGATAAAGGTCAATTCGTTAAACAGATTTTCTATGGTCTAACTAGTATAATTGGAGAAATGTGAAATGATGATACTCCTGTTGAGGTTGAATTATGGAGACCACTATCAATTCTTCCAACAATGTATACGATGATGGTATGACTGTGTTCATGTCAGTGAAGAGTCTATGGAAGGTGAAAACGATTAATCTAACGTAAATTTTGTTAAATAATGATGATTTGTCATCAGTTTTCATGGCTTTAATGTTGGTGAGAGGTCCTCTGCTAGAACAAAAGAGTTGTCTAGTGTCCTGTAATTTCCAATAATACCCAAACTGAGATCAATCTGTAACTAAAATGATCTCCTTCTACATTAAATGTTAGATAAACGGTTATCATTCTACATACATACGAAATATAGAATAAACATTTCTATCGTTATGTAAACATGTATGATCGAGCTTTCATATTCGTCTCACTACATTCCGTCAACAACTTCATAATAAACTGGACTGATCTACTTTCTTGTTCACATAATTACCATTAGATTCATCAAACGTGATTAATTTATTTCAGTTTGTCAATTAAAAAAGAAATGTTTCAGACAATTAGCTGATGAATCTTATTGACTTCATATTCTATGCTTAATGTTATTACTAAGACAATTCTATTTCATACAGAAAATTAATTTGAGATTACCAATTATCTAACACAGACTTAACTAACAAAATATATGTTAAATAATAATACTTCCAGCAAAATTATTTTACCAGAAGAAAAGAACACTGTGAAATAAACATGAAATTCAGAAGAAAACTGAATTTGTTTACTGTAAATCATATCAGATGCTTACGAAATAGATTAACGATATGAAACTATTCATGAGTGATTAACAGCTGTCTAAGCTAAATACTCCAAATCCGAAGGGGTGTACTATCATCCGCAAAGTTCAGTGACAGAGAAAAATGAGTAAAGATCCATAACTTTTATGCTCATAGAAAGCAAATAAGAATACGAAATGATTGGGTAAATCTATATTGCACCTCTTTTCTCTAATTCGATCTTTGTTGTCAGTTAGCATATACTGAGTGAAATTCAAGTGGTTCTAATCTCCTTAATTCTTGATTCTTGATTCAGTAAACATTACATTCCCTTGTTCATAGTATTACGCACTTATTGTTTGGAATATTAAGAGTGAATAAATGATTTTGAAAGATTTATTCGATACATATGAAATATCATGATCATGAGTTAATTGAAGCTAGACCACCATGAAAAACTTTAGAGCACTGAACGGCCGTTTCGCAGTATTATGGGACACCTCAACAGTGAGCATTCACGATCCGGTCTCGCGCACGGAGGCTTAACCTCTAGGCTACTGAGCCGGCATTCAAATGGCTCATCATTACAGCATTTGAAATTACTACAATGTCCACAAAAATCCCTTTTGATACAAATGAAATTGTTCGATTTATAGGTTTTTTAATGATGTGTGGGAGATATTGAGTTTATTGAGTTCCGATTCAATGTTCTAATGATAAAACATTAACTTGCACACCTCAAGATCCTATATTTCATTCCTGTTCGACTTATGAATATTCACTGTTACTAAGTTTATATGATGATTCCCATCCATGTCTCCTTAATTTCCAGTGATTATGTAATTAAATTCAATCCATTTTTTTTTTTGCAAATTATGTTTAAACACAAACATAATATGAGTAATGTTGATTGATTATAAATGATTTTTTGGATCAAACCCTATATGTAGATTTCATGTTAATAAACAACTTTTTTAGTGGAATATACTTAAACAAAAAATGAAATCAAAATGAATACAATCAAATATTTCCCAATATTTTATTTAAAATATTTTAAAAATATTTACAAATTTATTTTATTTAATAAATCAATATTATCGATTTAATATAATCAAAATAATAATTAAAAAACAATCAATAATATAATTGATTTTTAATAATTTCCACTTTCTTGACGTGCTTTTAATATCATTTGTCGAAATTTTTGTGCTGAATTATAACGATTATAATTAGAATATATTTGTTTTATATTACATAATTTATTTGGATCTGATTCATATAAAATTTGATTGGTTGATTGAGATTTATTGATTAAATATGATTGTTGTTTTAATTGTTTAAATGAATTAGATGTTAATGAATTAGAAATAACAGGTAAATGAATTTGTTTATCAAATTTTTGATTTGTATCATTTTTTAATTGTGTTGTTTCTCTATTAACAAAAAAAAATAAAATATATCAGAAAGGAGTTTTTTTGTGTAGATATTATAGTAATTTTTAATTGTTGAGATCATGCGTTAATCGAAGTTAGATTAACATGGAAAATCGGAAATTACTGAGTGGACCATGGATGCCCACTGCTGAAGGGTCCTACAATAGGATGAAACTAACGTCTAGTGCTATAAAAATATATCATATTTATTGCATTATAGAATGGTGATTGCGATAGTTATTTATTATCATTAATTATAATGATGGTATACAATTTACAATGACATTTATTCTATAGCAAAATAGAAATCGAATGAAAAAATAAAACACAACTACAGTTATTAACTAATATGAAATCGGATTTGTGGAATAGTAAAAGATAGAAATATAAGTATATAAAACAAAAAAATGTAAATGTATACAGTGGTGGATAATTGAACATTGAAGGGCGAGACTATAATTTATGGACGGACCAATCGGATATAAGATGACAGGTTTTGGATTTTGGCACGAAATCCAGTCAGCCATTTGGTTAAATAGAGTTTTGGACATTATAACTGATATCAGTTCGTGATGAAAATTATAAATTTAATTCCCAACTTTAACCATCAACTGTAGATGATAATTCGAATTCCTCACACTGGTTTATAACCCTCATTTGGTCCTAGTTATCAGGTGGACACTCTCAAATGTCGTCCATAAATTATAGTCTCACTATCTTCTGCTGCCAGGTTTTCCACTTCCGAATGATGCTACATATTACTTATGTCTGTTGACATAAGTAGTGTACACGACAGGATCACTTATAAACATAGAATTATTAAACGTAGTATATATCTTAGAATTTACAATGAATATCTAACATTAATCAAATAAAATAAAACTAATTATTACGCTACACTAGAACTCCAAGAAATACCTCTTGAGGCCAGACTGTGAGATAGTAACTCACTGAAGACGATGATGGATGTGTTACTTAATTTTGTGGATTGATCGAAGTTAGATATTAACACCGTTACATGACGGCTATCTCAGTGGTCTAGAGGTGAAGCGTTTGCGCGCGAGACCGATAGGTTCTGGGCTCAAATCTCGTAAGGCTGGATCGTGAATGCACACTGCTGAGGAGACCCACAATAGGATGAAACGGCCGTTCAGTGCTTCCAGGTTTTTCATAGTGGTCTAGCTTTAATTGACTCATGATCACAGCTATTGAAATAAACAATCACATAAAATTAGTGTAATTGATCTAAATGATTGTTCCTACATATTCTGAATACTCTGTTTAATTTTACTGACTTACGAGATGGATGATTTGTAAGTAGTTATTGATTTTCGTTGGACATAAATACTATTTGTAATAGTTTTGTTATTTTCTAAAGACAACATTTGCATTTGTGTACAGTGATTCGAATTCTGATGAAGAGAAAACGAATCATGAATTGTTTTTCTCTTAGGTTTATTGGATGAAGATGAAGAAGAGGAAGTATCACTGGATGATCGAGTTGACAATGAAAGTGATGAACAAGGAACATTGGAATCGTTAGGTAACCCATTAATTGAATTTTGACTAAGAAGGAACTCTAAGCCGCAAGACATTTTCTGGTTAGTTATTGAATTGTTATGAATTGTTCTTGGTTTGGATGATATTGAATCTACTTGAATGGTTTGATTGATATTTTCTTGTTCATGATTTATTGTACTGAAGTTTTCCAAAAGAGAATTCTTAGTGGAATTAAGAAAAACAGAAAAGACAAAGCTTGAAATATTTAAGTAAATGTCAGTTTCTATTTAATAGTGTAATAAATTAAGAAAAACCATGATAAATAGTCATTCAGAGTAAATATTTCAGTCTTACAGAAAATCAGTCGGTGACAGAATGACTCAACGGTAAAGTCTTAGACAGTCAGGGTAAATTAGGCAGATTTCAACCCCTCAAGGTTTCAGGTATGTCCTGCTACAATTTGTAAACTGAAATGGGATCTACATATAGGGTTTGATCCAAAAAATCATTTATAATCAATCAACATTACTCATATTATGTTTGTGTTTAAACATAATTTGCAAAAAAAAAAAAAATGGATTGAATTTAATTACATAATCACTGGAAATTAAGGAGACATGGATGGGAATCATCATATAAACTTAGTAACAGTGAATATTCATAAGTCGAACAGGAATGAAATATAGGATCTTGAGGTGTGCAAGTTAATGTTTTATCATTAGAACATTGAATCGGAACTCAATAAACTCAATATCTCCCACACATCATTAAAAAACCTATAAATCGAACAATTTCATTTGTATCAAAAGGGATTTTTGTGGACATTGTAGTAATTTCAAATGCTGTAATGATGAGCCATTTGAATGCCGGCTCAGTAGCCTAGAGGTTAAGCCTCCGTGCGCGAGACCGGATCGTGAATGCTCACTGTTGAGGTGTCCCATAATACTGCGAAACGGCCGTTCAGTGCTCTAAAGTTTTTCATGGTGGTCTAGCTTCAATTAACTCATGATCATGATATTTCATATGTATCGAATAAATCTTTCAAAATCATTTATTCACTCTTAATATTCCAAACAATAAGTGCGTAATACTATGAACAAGGGAATGTAATGTTTACTGAATCAAGAATCAAGAATTAAGGAGATTAGAACCACTTGAATTTCACTCAGTATATGCTAACTGACAACAAAGATCGAATTAGAGAAAAGAGGTGCAATATAGATTTACCCAATCATTTCGTATTCTTATTTGCTTTCTATGAGCATAAAAGTTATGGATCTTTACTCATTTTTCTCTGTCACTGAACTTTGCGGATGATAGTACACCCCTTCGGATTTGGAGTATCTAGCTTAAACATCGACTTAAATCGTGTTAGTGAATAATGGAATTAAATATGTCAAATACATCAATGAGTTTCGGATACGTACATTTCATACAATCGCTGATCCAGATAGACGATCGCGGAAATGAAGTAAAGAAAGCAAAGAGAAGAGAGTGAAGCGAAACGAATCGGAGAATGCATGTGAGCCAACTAGATTTTGCCAACCACGAATCGATATTAATAGTTAAACAAAAATAAGTTACAGACACATAATGGATAGGGTAACTAATCAGCACACATACGATCATATAAAAAACAGTCCAGACTTATAAGTGACAGAGTAAAATGTGGCTTAAGCAGAATGAATAGATTGATCTATCCAGAGGCTAGAATAACCTAAGTAGGCTTGGCATAGTACCAGCCCCTAAAAGTTCCTGAAGTTTCGGCTACGTACAATAGAACTGTCTTGACGTTCGTGTTGAAGATTCTGATTTTGATATTGGTTGGCAATTGTTCCGAATTCCATGTGTTCTTCACCTATAGGAATGCGGCGCTTGCTTCGTCAATCCTTTCATTTAAGTCTGGATCAGATTCTCCTTGATTATCGATCATGCCACCCAGGCACGTCAAACTTTCCACTTTTTTCCAAATCTTGTCCATAAAGTATGATCGGGTTGATTCTGACTGTATTGTACATCATGATCTTGCTTTTTCACTTGTGTATGTTGAGGCCTACTGTTGCACCGTCTTCTGCTACACTGGTTGTTTTGACCTTCATTTGCTGGTGTATAGAATAGAAGAGCTATGTCATCTGCAGAGTCCAAATTGTCTAGTTGCATCCAATCTGTCCATTGTATTCCGTAATTCAGACAACCACTAGAACAGAGAAATAGTGAGAGTGAGCACCCTTGTATGACTCCGGTCCTCATTTGAAATACTTCTATAAACTGTCCCCAGTGCACGACTTTGCAGTGTAGTCGGTCGTATGAATTGCGGATGATGTTGGTGATCTTTTCATCTACTCACAACACAGTGTTGAAGAAAATTCCTTAAGGTTCTATCCACTCTATCGAACGCTTTCTCATAGTCAAGCAAGTTGATGTATAGTGACAAATTCCATTGGATTGATTGCTCAAAAATGATCCGTTGTGTCGCGATTCGGTCTGTGCATTATTGATCATTACGGAATCCGGCCTGTTGATTTTGAAGGTTAGTATCTACGGAATCTTTTATCCGGTTCAGCAACACTGTTGAAAACTTTTCCTGGTACCGAAAGTAGTGTGATTCCCCTGTATTCCTCACACATACTCAGATCTCCTTTCTTTGATATCTTGACTAAGTATCCTTCTTCTCAGTCTGTCAGTGGCACTTGTTCTTCCTCCCAAAATTTCCTGAATAGGACGTGGAGCATGTTTGTGGTTACTTCTATGTGCGACTTCAATGCTTGAGCCGGTATGTTTTCAGGTGCTGCTGCTTCCCCACTGTTGGTTTGCTTGATGGCCATCCTGATTTCTTCGATCGTTGCTGGAGTGACATCTGTAGGAAGGTCTGTGTGTGTTGCTTCGATATTAGGTGGGTTCAGTGTGGCTGGTCTATTCAAGAGTTCTTTAAAGTGTTCTACCCAACTGTTCCTCTGTTCTTGAATCTCAGTGATTCTCTTGCCTTCTTTATCCCTGACTTTTCTCCTTGGTTTACTACATTTCCCTGATAGTTTCTTCGTTGTGTCATACAGTTATTTCATATTTCATCCTTTTGTAGTTTCTTCCGCGTATTTCTGCTTGTCGGCTCCAATGCTCCTCATCATTTGCTTGTTTGCCTCTGTGTATTCGGTCTGTGCATTTACTTTCACTGTTCTTGGTTGGCTGTTGTTAATTGCTATCTTCTTATTCTTCGTTTCTTGAATGCTGTTCGGGGTCTCGACAGAGATCCATTCCTTATGATGATGCTTCTTGCATCTCGGAACCTCCTGACACGTTCAAGTTGGTGCTTCTTTAGCGCGCTTCCAATTATTTTTCATAGTGGTTTCCTCTTCTTCGAGTAGATCGTGTAATGTTTGGGACCTGTTGTTGAGAGCTATGTTGCATTCTCTGAATTTGTCAGTATCTCGAAGGAAGACTATTAAACCCTCGTAATGCTGTTTCCTCAGTCATCCAGTGCTTCCTTACCCTTAGTTCTATCTTGGCCACAACCAGGTGGTGATCTGAAGCCGCTCTCTTGTTTCCACGGAGATCCATATAAACCTTTTTCTAAACTTACACCAATCTAATTAAAGCTAAAGTTTTTGAAATGTACCTATCTTCTACGAATAAATCATTACGTAGCAATCTGTGTCACACACTTTAGTTTTTAATACTGATCGAACTGTAGAAATAATGTTTTCATTGGGGCTTTCAGGCTTAAAATAAATTTAAGAAATGTTGTTCAATCAGGACTAAAATCTAGATAAGTTCAAACTGATCATGACTAAGCAACTGAATAATGTAACTAATACATTCTGATGTAAAGTCCGTCTCTACTGAAGTAGCTCACTTATGATGTCTAGGACTCTACAAATGAGTAATACAGTCTTGTGTTCGTTCGGAAACAAGTTCTTGGAATCACTGTTAACCTTTTGTAGATTCTTCTCGGCTGTTTACAACCTAAAAACAATAATGCTATTGATCAAAAACTCAACAAGTCTTGGATAAAACTGACTCTGATGTATAAATATAGAATAGTAACAGACAATAATTATGGAAGAATTAAAAAGTGCCCAAACGTTTACTTATTTGTAGATTAAATGCACGAATATTCTAAGGTGGAAAACCACGAAGAGCACAGTTATCCTAATCGATGAAATATAATGAACTGATTCCTTTCGTTTAAAAGATATACAGTCATATTCTTAATTTTCAGAAAATGCAAACAGAAATTGAACATACCTGAATATTTTGTAAGTAAGTTTTCAATTGTGAGATTTCTGCAAGTATAGCATTTCTAAAATAAAATAAATGAGATATTTTACAACCGAACATATAAAATTTTTTTGATTGAGATCATGAACCGATTGATGTTAGACCACCACTAAAAACCTGGAAGCAATGGACGACCGTCTCGTCCTATTGTGGTACTCCTCAACAGTACGCATCCACGGTCCCGCTCGCTGGATTCGAACCCAGGGCCTTCAGTCTCGCGCGTGAACGCTTAACCTCTAGACCACTGAGATGACCGGCATCTAACGGTATTAATGTCTAACCTCAACTAATCAGCGAAATTGTGCGACCGTCTTCCATTGTACCGAGGTAGATATCTGTCTCTATTCGACACGGATTAGCTCCACTGGTTACGGCTTCTCACCAGAACTCCAAAAATTCCCTCACAAAGCTAGTCACTAGTGAGAACATGGTAATCATCAGTATAGGGTTGGTGGAGATTATCAATCGGCTCATGATCTTAATCAAAAACTTAATCATCTCCACAACCCTATGCTGATAATATAAAATTTTATCAAAAACAAGTACAAAATGGATTATGTTCAATTTTCTGTATTTCACTGTTGTAAGTGCTTAGCCGTAGATTCTTTGTTTCATTTCATTATTATAATTTATTATAGCAGGATTCAGAGATTAAGTTGACTGCTCAACGTTCCAAGCTTACCCTTCTCAACATAAAAGTGAGAGATAACAAATAATTTGATACTGTCATTCATTAAAATACTTAAATCTAAACAACTTATTGAAAGTATGTCTAGTTACTTAAATAAATATTATTCGCTAAATAAATCTCTCCCAGAATGAAGATTTAGTACCTCAATATATGTGTAAATGATTTACTTAGCTTTCACCAGGTTACGCAACCAGTAATGCGACATTACTATCCGCATGAGTGTAATGAACAGTATTTTTTCTTGTGTCACTTTACAGCTGTATGATACGATCACTAAAAAAGAATAATGTAAATCAATCACACGTAGCGAACCATAATCATAGTCGAAATTCCACTCAGTTATCAGATCTCCTATTTAAGAGCCACAATAAAAAGAGAAACCCAGCCAATAAGTTTATGAATCATCATCAAGTAAGATGAATATGGAGAATGATATACCACTTATGGTAAATAGCATACTAGTTAGTTTCGAAGTAGGTCGGTGAAAGAATGAAACATAGAGCTACAGAATACCTTTGGGTTCCTCTACAAATCATATGCAAGATTGTTAAATTTCTAATTGTATTCCTCGATATAGTTATATTCTACAGCTGGAAAACTAATAAATTGTGAATAAAAATCAAAACTTCCCCGTAACCTTATAATCGTAAAGTTTCGGCTTTAATTTTTCTAACACACTACCCTTGCTACTTTACTTTCTACACTTATTCATTAATGCTAATGTTTGCAATAAAATAACAGCTATTAAACACATCTGTTTTACATTTCTAATAAGAGAATCTATACTAATATATTATTTATAAACAATGTATTGCATAAAAAAGTACTAAGCTGATATGAGTAAATTATGTACTTTTCTGAAACTTTTAGTTTTACATCTAATGAAGGTTAAAACATTGAGTTCAGAGTCATACAATTACATCAAAAACTAAATAACTGATTAATTACAGGGAAACTATAAAACAAGATAAATACGTTCAAATGCTGAAATATAACATACACTGAAACATTTGGAAAGATTCTACCATATCGATAAAATATAGTAATAATAGTGATAAAATGATTACTCAAAATTTAACTTAAGTTAATTAATTACCTCATTTTTTGAGTGTAATATTCAAGTTCAGATTCTTCTAAAATCCGGGAAAATTTTCAAAATAAAGTTATATGTAATCAATAATTTTGCATATTGCAAAAAGTATATATATATATATCATTTGATATCAAGTGTAGTTTAGATAACAACATAGCGGCTAACACTTTATTGCTTGGCTAAAATAAGCTAAATATCATTAAACACATCATATTGCTTCGTTTAATTACTGCAGTTAAACATAGTAACACATTTTGAATTACATAAGCATCTAATATTTTCCACGTCACTGAAAGTGTTGAGTTTGTATTCATGAGTTATAGCTCGATAATGAACATTCATAATTCAAATCATCACTGGTTCTAGAGAGAATTTCACTATTTAACTCTTTATTTATCATTCATTTTATTTGCTAAGTGTCTTATCCGTTCCAATGTGTAAATCTTTAAGTGAATATTATAAGAGTTATTTTCATTTTTAAGTGATCAACGTACAAAGTGAAAATGTGTGACTGGAACTAAAACTCAAAAGCTTTTACATTGTAAATGTGTTACAAAAACTTCTCTTTATAATAATAAGCGAAATTTCAAACGATTTTTTACGATAATTGTGTTTCATGGTACAAAATTATTCATCTATTTCTGTTCAAATTGTTTCATCATTGTGTGTTATATTATTCTATCAAATTTGTTGTTATTAATCAAACTAATGCCCGTAGTAAATTAATTTTAATGACGGTAGAATCACTAAATGCAATTTTAAAGAAAGCTAAAACCAGAAAACCCATTTGTAAATAATACTATGTAAACTACACTTTCCTGAAAATCTATAATGATATCTGACATATTGACTATCTTGCAAAGTCAGTGATAAACCACTGGAATAAAAAAGCCTATAAAATATTTTCAATATGGGTATTTGTGGAGACTAGTATTTTCACGGTTGAATTCACAAGTCAATTTAAACTAAACCAACATTGAAAACGCGGAGGCACTAGGCAGCCGCTTCGTCCTAGTATGGGGCTTCTCAACAGTGGGCATCCGCGATCCCGTTTCCGGGGCTCGAACCTAAGACCTTTGGTCCAACGCGCAAACGCTTGGCCTCTAGATCACTGAGCTGGCATTCAACGGCGTTAATATCCAACATCAACCGTTCCGCGGTCGTGCGCAATCCTAACCACATACATGCTTGTGTATGCGCATCGCTGAAGAGCCCCATACTAAGATAACACAGCCGTTCAATGCTTCAGGGTTTTCAATTGTGGTCTAGATTAGGTCACCTCGTGAATTCAATTACAAAATAGCTTTTAAAAGTAAGAATACCCATAAGATCCACGACGTTTCAAATATGGTAGGTGAATTTATTTAATTGTATCCTTTTAAAGGAATTTCCAGAGAGCTCACCTTTCAAACCATCAAATGCTTGATTAAGATTATCCTGTTTCGATCTACTTCATTATCTTTGAGCAAACGGAATTCAACTTACTTTTCGATGGCATTTAAATAAAGGAAAGAGAAATACTCCACGTCAGTTGAGCAACTTGAAGAATCTAGAGAGGTTGGTAGAAAAGAATCGTTATTGTTGGCTAGTTCTATAACAGAAATAACCTGTCAGCTAGCTTATCAAAATACGATAGCTTACTTCAGATTTTAATTCCAATGTCTGATCTATAAGATCTTCTCCAATGATACAGCGGGCTTCATAAATATGCACTGGTGGAAGAGAGCTCATTATCTGCTCCCATATTAAGCGAGGAAGACAGCTTAATGCCATTACGGTACAAGTTTATTGTTCAGCAATATCATAAATTTGAAGATACTTGGCAGTTTAGGGTATGAGAACAGTATCTGCGAATTCTATAGTCGATTCAAATTTCAATGCATGAACTGAGGTGAATAACATGATTGCGTTCCAAATTATAATCAATTGTTGTTTTTCTATCATAAACTGGACTATTAAACAATTCCAAAACCAGAAATCAAAACTAATTTAAAAGAATTTTGATATCGTCACTAATATATATCCCTATAAAAAGAACAAAACGCAGTTGCTAACCTGAGTTCTACCTGATCACTAAAATACATTTTTCGAAAAGAAAACAAAGGGTGGAAATATCAAGTGAAAACGTAGTGCATTTAGAAATTTTAACACATGAATCCTGCAAACTCTAGAAGGTAAAAATATTATTTACAGAGATTAAAGTTAATATGTTTTGGATCAGCTCATGAAATAGGAAATAAATATATAAGGAAGGTTAATCCAAAAACTAGAAAGGTGGAGAATGGCAGTTAGTACATAAAAACACTAGGTCCTGGAAACTATAAACAAAATATAACACATCTCGTTTCTCACAACTAGTAGCAAACTTTGAAAATTTTGGTTAACGTTAGGGTTACATAACTTAGCATTGTAATATCCGTACCATGAAGTAAGTATTTAGTTTCACGTATTATTGTATCAGGAATCGTGACATCAAAAGTCCGGTGAAAACTCTGAAGCATCACAAAATGTTAAGTGTTACGAAAGCTCGTAAACACGATGTAAAATATAAATTGTATAAATTAACCCTAAGAGACTAACCATTTTAAACTGTGATAAAAATTGAGATAGCACTTAAAACACTGTTTATCCATCAGAAGACTGTGAGGCGAAACATAATTTCTGAAGATAGAGACTGTCTTATTTAACAATTAAGGTTTTTAATGTTGTCGTTCTAGTTTTGATGGCATATAATGAAAGTAAATGTGGCATACAGTATATGGTATTCAGAACATGTGTCCATATGTTTTGGAATCCAATAAGGCAACGTTTGCAAACATATTGAAGATCTAAATTTCTCCTGATGAGATGACCTGAGCCTTATATAGAAGAGGTGGATGACGGTCAGTAGCGTAATATGAAACATCTACTCTGATATTTACAGCAGAAGAAGCATCTCGTGGTAAGTTTAAACTTGGTCTGATGTGCATACATGATCGAGTGTCTTCAGTTGACTGGTGTTTTGTAATGCCAAAATGATCGGCATCAATGTGGAATGCTGATAAAACAATTCATTTTTGGGAGTTATCTATCAATGCATCTTTTTACTTCTCATTACTCACAGAAAAAAATTTCACAAAATATGTTCGAAACATCACAACACTTGCTGGCAAAGATTTTGGTGATGTTTAAGACGGTCTATACATCAAAAAACAAGTGAAGTTAATTTATTTACATCACCGTCAGTGTATATATCAAGTGTTTGAATGACCTAGCTGATCCGTTGATTCTGAATTCTGGAATACCTAAAAGAACCAGGTAGCTTCAGAGTTTTTAAATTAAAAAAAAAGGATCTATATAATATCTAAATTCAATTGTTTAGTTAGAAATAATCATGTTTGGAAACAAACAGACACATTTTGACTTCATTTACTACGTATTCTATCCGTAATCAAATTAACGTAAATAGATCTGCTCATTTGATGAAAACCACTTTAACTACAAGCGTGAAATTTACTGAGTTTCCATCCATAATAATATATAAACATATTTTAACGAGGGCATTAATTTTTGTTAAAAATGATAACCAAAATATTAAGAAAATAATCAACAATTTCGGAGTCTAAAGTTTTTGTAGAGACCATAAAAATAATAATGTCATATTTTAATGAAGATATAAACAACTAAGGAGAGAATATAATTTATGGAAGAACTAATCAGGTCTACGATAATAGATCTTGAAATTTAAATCTAAATTCACTCATCTATTTTGTAAAATAGTTTCATAATTATAGCTGATGTCAGTTAGTGATCAAAAGCTCATATTTGATTCCTAACGCTAACCATCAACTGTAAATAATAATCCAAACTCCTCAAGCTGATTTATAACACTCACACTGCCGCAGTATGTTGTTAGACATTCTCAAAATCTCTAAAGCGTCGCCCAAAGCTCGTCCATAATTTATAGTCTCACCACAAATTATTTGACGAATTTCAAATAACAATGAAAACGTCAGGATAAAAACTACATCATTGAGAAAAAATTGAAATATCGTACTGTCAGTAAATAGAAACAACAAATAGTTTGATACAGTAAAACAAAAATTGTATAAATACTCTAATTACATCAAGACAAAGACATAGACATCTCCTCTATATAATGACATATGCGTCTCCAAAGATTTATATTATCTTAGTTAACAAGCACTATTTACATTTAAAATTTTAGTGCGATCGTGGTAGGTTTTGGGCTTGAAAATATTCAGAAATACCATAAATATTTTGTTTGTTTCTTGCATAGTTTCAAGACCTTATTGAAATATATACCAAGAAATACATTTCAAAACACGTATTACAGTGGCATCAGAAATGGTTCTAAATGGTTCAAATGAAAACCAAGATTTTTCTGTTATCCAGTGTAAAGAAAAAACCATGACACCGTTTAAGAATTAAAAAATAGAACGTCCGTCCTGTAAAGCTTATGCCATACATGTTCGTAGAGTTTATCAATTTATCTATTGACGACTTTCTGTAATTGTTTTTGCAATTTACTAGCGGTAAATTGAGTAAACAAGCGATCTAAATCGCAACCCCGTTAGTTTTGCTGGAAGTCAGCAACCCAAAACTTCTCGTTTAAATACAGCGAAAGAATCTCACATTAGATCATAAGAGAGACATCAGCCATTTTAGATATTAATTTTAAAAATGCTATTTACCCTAATCACAGTTTTCGTTTTTATATAAATCCCATTCCATGGACCACGTTTATCTGCTGATTGAGAAACTATGGATTATTTGTGGACATAGAAGTTAGCTGCCCTGTTCTCCAAATAATTAAATTATGTGAAATTTCATTGACCGCAGTTTCGTATGAAAAAGCAACACTCTTCTCTTGATCATAAAAATTGGGGCGTTTTATTTCTGCGAACCAATTCTCGTACTGCACAAACGAGCTTTTGATAAATTAGTCTTAATTGTCTCCAGAAAGATAAGCGTTTTCATCTGAACCATGTATTTGAGTGAGAGTGTACAACTTCTAACGAAGATTAATGTAATTCGAAAGAACATCTATAATAAGTTATAACAATATACAGTAACTTTAAGCAGATGATGGTTTGACAATATGGAACTCAACTACATATTACATAGCATTTTATCAACGAACATAAATATAGAGAACAACCGTAGTAGTTGTCTAGAGAATGGTGTTACAAACACAAGTAATACAATAAGTTCAGTCAAAAAGATGAGAAAAAGAAATCGTGATCATACGGATAAGTTGCAATTTACTTTCAATCATGAAAACTTTGAATCGATCAAAGTGGGAAGGTAAACTGTAAAACGTTTCTTGTATAATACGATAGTTTAGCGTGTAGCGTGGTGTCGAGTTGAGCTTGACTATGAACACCGCTACCAGACTACGTGCCAATAGACCAATAAGATTCCGGTAGGCCAAAAATCAGAAGGCAGATGACAGTAGTAGTTGTAATATATTTGTTGGCAATCTCGTGGTATCGAAAGAATACCGAGATCGTGCCAAAGGGGTACAGATGCGATCGGCAAGAAAAGGTGCGTGCGTAGTCAAGAACCGCGTAGAAGGAATGGAATACAATGGAAGACCAAAATGGCTGTTATTGACACAATTAAACAAACGAGCACAGTAAAGCAGTCACTGGTACAATTGGTTATAACAATAATTGTTTTCATCGAACCAATCGCGTTCTGTTGACAAAAGTAGGTCACTACAGGAGCCCCCCGCTAGAAAGGGTTTACACTTTCGATAGTTAGCGGTTTGATTCGTGGGACTGATCGGAAGAAGTGCGGTTGTAGGACGGAGGAAATTGGCGGAACAGGAAGTGATCGTCGATCCTCGAGTTGCCAACGAAATTCTTTTGCGCAGAACGGTACCAGGAGAAGTGTGCTGTATTTGTTGGTCGAATTAGCATACCACACCAGAGTGGTTTGTATCCAGGATCTGAAGATTGCGTTCGTAGGGATGTGGACCAAGAAACGCTGCAGACGTAGGACGAAACCATGTTGAGCCAAGAAACCGGACGCGACCATAACGACCAAGCGTATGCCAGGCGAATTCGAGACCAGATAATCGACTGAGTGCGTTGACTAGAGCTTGGGTGGCCAAACCAGCTTTTGCCAAAGTTGACTGAAGTCGACGTTACCAAACGGGCGATGGTCGGAGGCGTGGGCTCAGGACACAAAAAAAATCAAAAAAAGAAAAGTGTAGCATGCGTGTAGTATAGGAATGATCCTACACCGTATCTGTTATTGACTGTGCGTTTAGTCGCGAAAGCATACGGGTAATCGTACTCGGCGACCGGAACGTGAGACGGTGGTCTCGTTCGTACTTCGTGAGCCTGCGATCTCATCCGAGGTCAAGGGCGGCGTGGCCTGCCGATCTGGACGTGAGACGGAAGTCTCGTCCGTAGATGGTGCAGATGACGCGTGCTGTTGACCGGGACGTGAGAACGAGGTCTCTGATGTATCTAGCGTGGAATCCGAGGTAGACGTAGAGATCCCGCCAGAAGGTTTGATAGGTCTAGCATTGAGTCTCAAGTTATCGGGTAGGGCACTGTCAGTCGTGACAGTCGAGGGACAAACGTACAATGCTATCCATCGTTCTATGAAGCGGTGAGCAACTGTCTCCGCCGTGATAGACGTGATGGGAATAGCTTCGGGCCATCTTGTAAAACGGTCAATGCACGTGAGTATGTGATCATACCCATGCCATGGTGGCAGTGGTCCTACAATGTCTATATGAACGTGATCAAAGCGAGCATCAGGCGTAGCGAACGTGCCAATGGGGGTAGCTACGTGCCTGTGCACTTTTGATCGTTGACACTGTGAGCATTGCTTTACCCACATACGAACATCTTTATTCATGGACGGCCAGACGTATCGTGCAGCGATGAGACGTAATGTGGCTGAGATACCTGGATGAGACAACCCATGAAGGGCATCGAAGACGAGATGGCGATAGGTAGAGGGTACGATGGGTCGAGGAAGACCGGTAGAAATATCACATAGGATAGTACCTGAGCTAGTAGCTAGGGGTACTTCCTGGCACTGAAGGGACGAAGATTGTGGTGCTTCTGTACAGACAGGATCATTTGCTTGTGCGGCGGCCATAGCAGGAAGATCGAGCACCGGTAAGGTAACTGCATTTGCTTGAATACGTGATAGAGCATTGGCAACATAGTTTGACTCGCCTTTAATGTGACGAAGGTCTGTCGTGAACTAGGAGATATAGTCCAAATGTTTGCACTCTCGTAGTGAATAGCGGTCAGACTTGGTATGCAGGGCATACGTTAAGGGCTTATGGTCGGTGAATAAAATGAATTGACGTCCTTCTACTGCGTGCCGGAAATGTTTGATGGCGCAGTAGGCTGCAAGCAGCTCGCGACCAAAAGCGCTATATCTCATCTCCGTGGGAGTAAGGCATCGTGAGTAAAATTCAAGGGGTTGCCAACTACCGGAGATATTCTGTTGCATGACGGCTCCTATAGCGAAATCTGATGCATCAACCGCTATACTAAGCGTGGCTGATGGGTCAGGATGAGCGAGAAGTGTAACTTTAGCGAGAGCCGTTTTTATCTCTGAGAATGCAGTACGTGCGGTATCGTTCAATTCTAATTTGCGTGGATTACCGCGTAGTAAATCGGTTAATGGTCGTAACCGTTCTGCCGCGTGAGGGATAAAACGTCGGTAGAAGTAAACCAAACCGAGGAAAGCCTTCAGTTCCTTGAGTGAGGACGGCACGTTGTACTCCTTGACCGCTCGAACTTTGTCCTCGCAAGGCAGAATACCCTCTTGTCTGATGATCTGACCAGAAATATTATTTCTGATTTACCCAATTCACATTTCTCTGGGTTGACTACTATTCCATTATCCGAAAGACGTTGGAATAATAGCGTAAGGTGTTGATAATGTTCATCTACGCTTGATGATGCGATCAGCAGGTCATCAATATAGACGTGAACAAAATCCAAGTCTCGTACTATGCTATCGATAAAAATTTGGAAAGTTTGAGCAGCAGTCCGTAATCCAAATGATATTCGTAGGAACTCAAACAGACCGAAAGGAGTCGTGATAGCAGTTTTTCGATGTCTTCAAGAGCGACTGGGATCTGGTGATATGCTCGTACCAGATCGAGTTTAGAAAAGATAGTCGTGCCCTTGAGCGATGCCGGGATGTCGTGTATGTGGGGGACGGGGTAGCTATCAAAGCGCGTAACTACGTTTAATGCTCGGTAGTCGCCGCATGGTCTCCAACTAACCCCATCTTTTTAGCGTACCATGTGTAAAGGAGAGGCCCAAGGACTGTGAGAAAGACCAATAATACCAGCAGATAGTAAATTGTCAAACTCACATTTAGTGAAAGCTCATTTGTCCGGTGCCAGTCGGTGTGGTCTTGCCGTGACTGGTGGTCCGCAGGTGACTATGTGGTGTACCACACGATTGGTCACCGATGAAATCTCCTCGAGTGGTTTAGTTATTCTGGGGAATTTTTCGAATAAAGCATGGAATTTATTGTCACGCGAATAAAAAGTGCCGAGGATTCGGTACGCGTACATCGGAGTCTATAATATTAATGGTATTCTTATCGTTATCCGTCATGTCAAATATATATATTAAAAATTAATATGAAAATATACGACAGACGTGGATAGATAAAACAATAGACTCACCGAATTGCCTTCTTTAAAAGATTTGACCGAGGTTGAGGCCTGTTCCAATATTTGGCTCACCAAATGTAGCGTGGTGTCGAGTTGAGCTTGACTATGAACACCGCTACCAGACTACGTGCCAATAGACCAATAAGATTCCGGTAGGCCAAAAATCAGAAGGCAGATGACAGTAGTAGTTGTAATATATTTGTTGGCAATCTCGTGGTATCGAAAGAATACCGAGATCGTGCCAAAGGGGTACAGATGCGATCGGCAAGAAAAGGTGCGTGCGTAGTTGAGAACCGCGTAGAAGGAATGGAATACAATGGAAGACCAAAATGGCTGTTATTGACACAATTAAACAAACGAGCACAGTAAAGCAGTCACTGGTACAATTGGTTATAACAATAATTGTTTTCATCGAACCAATCGCGTTCTGTAGACAAAAGTAGGTCACTACAAGCTCTTTTTCACAACTACGTTTTAAACATTGTTTCAGCTGTTTGAAATAAAATAGAGCACATGTTTATTTATCTAGCCCTATTTGACAATAAATCTCTAATTCGATTATCCGTATATTCACGATTAGACAAATTGAGAACAATTAGATTATTCATTCTTATTAGAAATCTGAAAATTACTCTGAAATCATGAAAATTCAGTTTTAATCTTCTCGTTCTAAGAAATTGTCACTGATCTTCCATCTGTTGATTTTTCTATGAAGTTCAAAATAACTAACAGAAACATTTCTTGCAGTACGATCTATATATAGCATTACGAATTCAATTAATTAAATTTTAAGTTTTTTTCATTTTGCGAATGCTATAATACCTCTTTTACAGAACATTATTTGTTCATCTACTCCATTTAATCAAGTTTCATAATACCGCTATTTTAAGTTTAGAACTACATATCGTGATCTATGCAACAATACTCAGGTAACTCATTATCGAAAAATGGAAAAAGGTCGGAAAGATATACACAAAAAGAATTGAGATTTTTACTCGAGGAAGTTCAGAAGTATCCAAATATTATAGAGTCACCGAATAGTCATAGTGAGACAAAACACAGAAAGTTTGTATTATGGCAGCACATTTCAAAAAAGTTACAAAATAAATTCCCTGATTCTAGCTGTAAATCTCCGATTCAGCTCAGAAATTGGTGGAAAAGAACTAAAAGTAGGGCTAAACAACGTCTTTCGTGTGGACCTTGTTCGACAGAAAAATGTAAATTCACAGAAAATGGTATCAGAGAAGTTCATGAAAACAGCCGAGGATACCTGGAAACAATTTTTTCCGAAATCTGTGAGTTCAGACGTCAGGTAATGACTTCTTATACACCGGAAAAAGAAGATTCAGAATTCACGAAATTTTTAGAAGAAACATCAGAAGATTATAGTCCACAGAATCAAGAAGGTGTATGTGGACCTCCAGAATCTAGTGATTTTGAAAACGACTCAACGGCAGAATCATTCGGGGCCTTTGCACATGGAAATTTCGTATCTTTTACTTGCCATCGCAGTAGAGATTCGCAAGAAAATAATCATGTTCGAAGTTCAAGTCCCAGAGATTCTAATAAAAGGACTAATGTTCCTCCCCAAAATTTTCTTGATTACAACTCAACTGAAACAATTATAAAAAAATATAATGAAGGCGAATCTATGTTACAGAGGGATAATACTAGTGGTTTACTTAGCCAGATTTTCACAAACGCAGCAGCGAGTTTTCTATCGAACTATAAACTTTTAATTGAGAATCCATCACTTTGTAATATGAGTGGAATATACTATTCTGAAAATGATGCATCACACAAAAATTCTGATGAAAACAGTGGTGATGTTTTGACTGAGGAATCAAGTTTGAGTGGAAATTCGTCTTCGTACTTCACCGAAGCTTCTAAAAACCTTGAATTGTCAACGAATGAAGACAATATGTTTTACATTCCTTCAGTTTCAAATCATTCTACCTGCATGCCAATGCTAAATGCACCTAAAACGTTCAAAAAGATTAATAATGGCCCTGAATGTTCGTTTTTGTGGCTGGAACTGATGCAGATAGAAAATGAAATTCTTAAACTTAAAAAGCGAAAACTGGATCTAGAAATTACCATTTCAGACGACTGCCTAAATAATTATTTACAAAAATTACATGTACCGTAAATGAATAACATAGCATATCGATGACTGAAATAATTACAAATAAAGTTTTTTTCAGCCACTATATTTATATATGCCAGTACATGCCAAATATGGATAAATGTGCACATGTTATTATTGAGGTTAGAACAATTAGCCAAAATCTTGTATTGATGTATAAAAATGTTAGACCAACAGTAATTTTCCACCGATCAGGGGGGCTTCGCTGGAATATTATTGTCATCACAATGTCTTCGAACTCTCGACGATATGATTTTGCCGACAGTTGATTATTGAAAATACCATGCCGCATGTTGTTGAATGAAGTATCTACTTTTGACTAGATAGCGAGATGACCTATTGTGCAGGTTAAATAAAGCACTGTAACAATGAAGTTTGTAACGAGTTTAGTTGCTTATTTCAATTAATTTGTAGGAGAAGCCAATTGCGTAGTTCCATAGTACGTTAGCTCATTTTTTGTTGTAAATCATTCCATTCATCAAAGTCAAAAGAATACATTAATCGAAAATGTCTATTTAATCTAACATTTTTCAATAAGTTCTTGTTTTAAACATATATTAATATAAGAGTTTGGCGGCTGGGGTATAAAAAATTGTTTCTCCTCCATGAAATAACTAATTAATCTAGACCACAAGTGTTTAAAATTTGATAAGAAACAGACTGTTCCTAATATCTTCTAGTTTAAGCTAGAAAATTCGTTAATATTCCATATATATGTTCAATTTATGGTGCCTTATATGTTAATGTATGAAAAAGCTGACAAAATTATCTTGGAAACAGTGTCTTTTGTAATTATCATCGGAGCAAATTTTAAAATAAACGTACATATTTAGTTACATATGCAAGTAGTTAGGAGGGAGTTTTATGGTTATTAGAGGACTACAAAACCTGATATGCAATTTTCATCGAAATCTTTATGAATCATAAATAGTTAGAAAAATTGAAGCGTCATATGACACACGATTTGTGAATAAACTGCTAAAAACACAAAAATACAGCTTGAAACAGACATTACAACAAAGTAACTGGTAGTAACTATAAAATAAAAGCTGAAAGTAAGGATCATAAGTGAGTGAAGGCCATTTTTTCACTTCTGATCAAACGGTTATTTGCCCATAGCTAAAATAAACATCATTACAAACACTCAGTCTTTAATCTTCCCTACAAGACAAATTTCCACACATCTGTCAGACTAGAATAACAAGCTTGTTTTTTTCAATATTTGATGTGCGTTCGATCACTTATTGAGAAAGCGGCGCCTAATAATCTTTCGATATTACATAAGTGCGGAACAAAAGGATGTTAAAGTGTGCGTCAGTACCTGTCTATTTTTACATTTAAACCCCAAAACCAAACAATTTACTGGCTTCCTGAATACAGTTTTGTCAAAGTTTCACTTACCCAGTGTTCTAAGTGAGTCATAATTTGATTTTAAAGAAATGATGGGAAGTTACGGTCTTTAAGTCATGGTATTAAGTCGAAAAAACCCTAAACCAATATGTTCACATACATGAGGTTATAAGGGTGTGCTGTTGATATAACTTTCATTATGTAGAGATATTATACTCGCAATAAAAACAGCAGTTTGTGATGCATTTGAATAGATTTTATATCGTTCGAACTCTCTCGGAAACCGATTGATCAAGTTCTGTTATCTCAGCATGTTATGTGAATGTTAACAGGGAATTACATACAAGCTACTTAACTGTTTTACATTGAAGAAGGCACTTCAAGACTTCTCATGTTCATTTCCAGAGTTCAGTAACATGTAACATCAGGAAAGCATCGACCAGATTTATTTTGTAGCCGCATAATAAGCGCCGCGATATGCTTTGTTTCATTTGTCAAAACCATACAATTAGTATTCATTGAAAACTATGGTACAATATAAGTTCCTAAAGCATCAATTATCTACACCTCACAAACCGTTTAATAGAAAATTTGTTTTTCAATCACTATAAGACACTTTTATAACATGCTTTTAACGCATGTATCATATCGCACGAAGTTCATAAAGCATTAACAAAATCACTATAGGATTCTAGACAACTAGCTATTTAATGAGTATTTTAATTTATAGTTACGGATACAAAGGATCAGCTTCTGTTGCTATATATGCATCCAGAGTGACTATGTAGCTCAGTGTATAATGCGCTGACACTTTAAGTCAAAGGTACTGGGTTGGAATATTATAGCGATTACTAACATTGGGGTCCAGGTAGATTCAGCTGACTAATCTTAAATAAAATGAAACACAGTTAGTGTGTATGTCTTTTTGTAACTACAGGTACTTTATCATACTTATTTATGAAGATATTTTGTCGTTAGCACCATTTAGACGAATAATTAATATGCTTAAGTTACACACCAGTTGAACGTTTACAATACGTTGAATTATAGACATATTAGTAAAAAGACCTAGTAAAACTGTAATTTGTTGATTCTTAATAAACCTACATTTGATCGGTCTTAACTAATCTCAACAAAATGAGCGTGACTTTAAATTCACGCACAAGTGTAATACATCTGACGCTGTTTTGATGAGTTTCTATATTTTTCACAAACTACATATGACTATCACTCAAAGCAAAATATAATTCAGCAATTAGCAACTTTCAGGTGAAATCATGATCTGCTGCAAGAAGACGATTTCATGAATAAGCAGATTGCTGCACTATAACACAGTGTTTGTCATAAAACCTATAGACGCTGTATGTAACCCCATATTAGGTAGTAAGCGGCCACTATGGAGTAATTCCGTTGTGAAATTGGCCAACACTCCTTGTTTCTTAATATCTACCGAACTGATATTAACTTTTTAATCAAAATTTCTCTTAAAAATCTTCAGAAGAGCATCTTTTACAGTACATTGACATATATCAAGACGTATGAAAATTCCGTGAATGTATTATAGAGATCAGGATAACCATTTCATTTGCTAAGCATGTTGCTCTATAACTGCATTTACTGATCTAAATATCTGGAAATGGTTCCAACACGATTATTGTTTATGCTAACAGTAATGGTGGAATACTTGAGGTAAATGCCACAACCGTCTCAGTAAATGGAAGCACATAAAATGTCCAATATCCAAGGTTATAGTAAACAGAAAGCATTCTACATTCGCAACCATATCATGTTCAATAAAAATACAACTATACTGTCATATAGGTAACAAAATGTCAAAATGCAAATGTAACAATAATGTGGAAGAGAGGAAATCACATCGTTGTTGTGCTAATTATAACAACAAAAAATCTAAACAGGATAACAATGAAAATAAGTAAACCAAGTTTTTTCGAAGGAAACCTGATTAAAATCAAACATGAACTTAAAACTACGCAAAAGGCAAATGATTATAAAGTAACGTAAATACGAGAAAAAACGACTAGTATGAGAGTAAACATTAGAACAATTCTATTTTATACAATCACTTAAAATAGTTTTGTTAATTGTTATTATAATCCTGATTAACAATTAATATCAATACGAAACTAGTAAAATAGAAGTTTGATTGTTTTTTTTTTGTACATACATTACTCGAAATACGTAGATACACCATTTATGCTATTGTAAGCGACAAGTTAGTCGATTTATACAAACAGAACTTTAAACCGGTATGTTTCAAAAGCAGGAATAGAGTACGTTGAGGACAACATACAGAGATAGAAAAAGAGGGGGTGAGAAAATGATACGAAATTGTTCATGGGGCAACATACATACACATATATTAGAGACATGTGTCATTAAAATAAAGTTTGTTGCACTGTCTGTAAGCCAAAAGCATTCATGTATTCAAAAAATTACAAAAAATGTGAACTACAAAAAGGAAAACACAAGTGCAAAAAAAAACTATATCCGATGAATCGATAGGACACACATCAAAAATGATACTGAAATTCAATGTTTGGCGATTTGATTTTAAATAAATGTCGGATTAAAACAAACATATTTGGAACTAAATCAGTTTAAAAAGAAAAACTAGTATTCCAACATTTTCTACAGTACATATATAACTATGGCAACGTTTCAAAATATATTAATGTATTTCCTTATTCATAAATACAAAGTAGACGTTTATAGTGAGTTTAATGTAGCTGAATCCGATGAGTCGACATTATAATTCTCTAACAATCCTGTTGAACTATGATTGCAGTCTATATTGTTCTCGTTTCCGTATGTATGCGGCCACCGATCTAGGGAATCATCACGTTCGCATTCTTTAACAGATCGAATACTAGTATTGCATGACAAGTAGTGAGGAACATCCTTAAGATGTGAATTCATTGCACCCGACACAACCTTGGGTGAAAACTCAGAGGCCTAGAAAAAAAATACATGATAAAACACAAAAATAAGATAATGAAATTGGTAATGTAATGATTGATTCATTAAAATAAGGCCAATACTTAAGACTTTAAATCTGGTCAATGGTGTATTTTGTCCAGCGATTTGTTTCCAACCTCAGTTATTTTATCTGTGTATAAATGTACTTAGTTAAATTTACAGGAGATTCACGTACAGTAAGGAACGCAAAAATACTTTTTTGACAATCCTAATGTTTAAGTATAAGAACATGCAAGAAATCGAACGAAACATTTGAGAATATATAGCAGGTACATGTCCTAACAGGTAGTACGAGAAATGACCCACTGATATGACACTTAAATTTCACACGTCTTACGGGATTGAACTCTCAACAGTAACTGCACAAAATGCACACTCACTTTAGAGCCACAAAAATAACTCCAATTACTTTAGATGAATGGACGAAAAACATGTGTTTATTAGAATACAGTACAAGTGAATTTCGACATAAATTGGAGTATCTCGTATAAAAATCAATATAACAATCATAAACTTGAAGGGTTATATACAGATAAAATTAGATACTTACAGCTAAGTCTATTTGTAATAACCTTGGAGATTCTGTACCACCATCTGGCGAAGTAGAATGGTCTACTGTAGAGTCAATATTACTAGACAATGAATTACTTTTGAACATTTCAGATATTTTTCGTTTCTGTGTATACCCCTTTTGATTTGACTTATTTAAAAAATCTTCATTGTTAGCAGCAGGAATTTTCGCCGTATGAAGTTCAGGTGCTGAGATTTTAGAAGAATTTTTGAAAGAATCTCTAGAACCTGATATCATTGAACAGTTCACCATACCAGGAGAGCGCGAAATAGAACGATCCTGCTTCTTCGGTGGAACATTTAAATGAAATTGAGAATCTATAATTAAGAAGCGCAAATCCACAAAGTTAGGGTACATAATTCCCAAATTTTTTATCATTTCCAAAACATTTTCACATGTTGATGAAATATAATAGCTAACAGATTAAATGCAGCATTAAAATTCAGCAAAATAATCATGCTGAAAAAACAGAAAACTTTTACATGCCCATTTTCCAGTTACTTGTAAGTAGTGTGAGATTTAATCGTTGATAATGAATGAGACATGAGCTTATTATTTCATAAACGAGAAATTAAACTAATGGTACAGAAAGATAAAGGATACGAATATAATATACTAGAATTAAGTGTTATGATTTAATTAGCATGAAACTATCATCATTTGAACACGTTACATATGAGATGCATATACACGAAGATGTGATTAAATAGCTCACAATATAATATTTTATGCACTAAAAAAATAATCATAGTTTCAATAGTTGAGATCATGAGTCAATTGAAGATAGACTACCATAGAAAACCTGAAACTACTGGACGACCGCTTCGTCCTATTGTAGAATTACTCAGTAATGTGTATCCACGATCCCAACTCGTGAGATTCAAACCCAGGACATATCGGTCCCGCGCGCGACCGCTTAATCACCAAACCACTAAGCCGGCATACAATGGTGTCAATGTATACCTTCAACTAATCCACGAAATTGAGTGACACATCCACCATTGTCTTTATAGATTTACTATCTTCGCTGGTCACTACTTCTCACCAGAAACACCACTTGAAGCCAGTCACTAGTGAACAAATGTTGAATAGCATCACAATAATAATAGTCAGGTAGCGATAAATTAAATAATAAATTTGGAATTAAAATCACTTATAGTTGGAGACGTTGGATGGGATAGCTACGCATCCGTTTACAGTGACCTAGAAACATTCACTCTTTATTTTCGAAAGTTTTTACCTTTTACCCTTCAAATGCATTCTTTCTTCTCCGAGCATATAATCTATGTCTACGTTTTTACTTATACGAATTCTATTACTCTGGGCATTTGTCTTGGTAACTTCATTTCGCTGTTCTGATGTGGTATGGTAACGCAAACTGATTCACATGTGAGCCGGCTTAAAAGTTAAATCAATTATGCTGTCTAATTCCATTGCATTAAGTGAACATAAAAATGACATAATAAGGTGGTCAATATTGACGAAAAACAGCATAATATCTAAATCTCTTATTTTCTTCGATGAACAATATCAATAACCAGATCACAAAAGACCATTAGTTGTTTTGTCAGATATATACCGAATACCAAATTTAGCTGAATAATAGTGCTTTATAAACAAAAAGTAATATATTAACAATCAATGATTAGACATAAAACTTCATGCACACAAACCTGAATTACGTGTGGCACGGTGTTTGGTAATAGGTGATGGAGTCCTAGGTAGATGAGGCGAACATATTTTGTGTGGAACAAATGAATTTCTTGAAATTGTTTGAGCTCGTATTTCCTCTGTAATAGCCTGAAATAGGTAGTGTATGAACTTTTGAACTAGTAGTCAAAAATATTATGCAAGGACGAAATGACGAAGAATACTGACAACGTTAACGGTTCCAATTATTAACTTACACAAAATACAGTAGTTGTGATAAAACTAACTTCCAATTAATTCTCCTCAAAACTACTGGAACTAAGTACGGTATATATGTAACGAAATCTTATCATATATCTAAACAGAAGTAGGAAAAGTAGCATTAAATTTATGTCCCAACATTTGAAAATCGAATGTTTAAAGCACTCGACCTACAATTCCATTTCACTAGTCTTACTAAATAAGATGTATGTCATAACCTATTGTTCCTGAAGCAAAAGATAATCTTATGATAAATCGCCTCATTGAAGAAGCATTGTTTTGACATTTCCCATCCGATAGTTATAAAATATTATTATTATTATTACAAAATACTAGTTTAAAGTTTACAACACAAAAACGTTCAACTATACGAAATAATTCAACACGTAGAAAAATGTCAGAAAATTAGGACGCCTATAAACTAAGCAATGATATCTTTCTAGTGATATAATTTTGGGTTATCAATTCGGTGGTTGACGATTATAATTGTGATTGTCATAAACGGAAAAAACAGCACTGAATATCAGAGAGAAACACAATTTTTTACCCAAAGATTTAAAAATAAAGAAAAGAATCCACATTACCTTATTAATATGACTTTCTAGTGTATTCAAACCCACATGCATAGACGAACGCTTGTCTGAATTAGAAGAAATATGAGAATCTATATTATTAACCGGGCTGACAGAATCCGATACAAATTGACTGGGTTCAGTTGGATTACTACATGTTTGTATGCGATCGTTTTGGCTTTTAGATGGCTGAGTTTATGAACAAGCAAATTACAAAAATAGAAAGGTAAATAGTGTTTAGAAAAGTTTATATGTGAAGAATATTGACGAATTTTAACTGGAAATTAAAAGATTGAAAAAAATTGCGAACACCCTTGCATTACAGAAAACAAAACATTAGCGATTTAAGTGACAAAAACTTGTCTCAAATAAAGTCGTTATTTACTGGTTATTCATTCGTTGATCACTGAGTTACTGATTAATTAATCAATCGATCCCTTGCTAAGTCGTTTTATTACCCTATATTATAACTTATTTTCTTTCTCAACTTGACTAATTTCACTAAAATGTACCAAGAGCGTAAAACGTTCGTTTGCCTCATTCTAAGCCAAAAAAATATCACAGAAAAGAATTAGGTACATTATACGTCAATGATATAAGTAAAATGTATTTAAACGAACAATTTGGTTTTTATATAAACTCGGTAAATATTTATTTTACTTAGATGATTGTACTAGCATTAGTTGGAATATAGGGGCGATACAGTTCTAAACTTCTGAGAAAATGCTGATCGGTAATAGAATTATACGACTTGAATTACACCAAAACGAGTTACTTGGAATAAAAAAAGTAACACAACTTAAGCACATTTTTATTCTCAATTGTGTCATTTATATGGATACGTATTAAACTCAAATTCTTATCATTTCAAAGAGAACAGAGTTTGTTAACTTGTAGTAAGCCCATTCAACTATTGTATTATTTGTCTGCTCACAGTCATTTAGACATTTAATCCACTATGTAAAATTATGTGTGAGTCTGATTGAGCGCGTGTTTGCACATCAATCTTTATTTATAGACATTGTAGGTATCATTGCCAAGGTTTGACTTAATAATTTTGAATAAATTGAACATTGAGTGGATTATTATAAATAAATTGATGTATTTTTATTATCCCATTGGGATATACACTCTCTCTTACTTTAAACCATGAGATTACTTTATACTTTTCTCTATACGAATTGATTCTTTCTCCCTGTATCAATCCTTATATGCAAACTTTTTTTATATATTACAGCCATTAAAGGAACTAACTATATGAATTTGATGTTCATCTTGTTATGCTAATGAGGTGTGACAACTTGGACGAATGCATATATGCGCCTGGCCCCACGTTGTAGCTGAGTGACTGAATAACCTTTCTCCCATGTAACTTAGCGTGGACACATATGGTATCTGTGATCTCGAAATGTTCGGAAGTTATATTACTATTGACACTAATAACTATTGCATTGTCTATTAAAATTAGATTAATTTAGCAAGGTTATAAATACCACTAGTTCATAAATATCAAAAAGTATCAGCAATTTACAAGTAAAAACCACTGTGAATATTCTGATATTCAGTGAATAAAGAGATAACATCAAAATGAAAAGAATCTTACTATACATCTTGATGGAGTTCCTCTTGATAATTCACTTTTCATATATGAACCAAATGTATGATTACCGGCACCCTCAGATGAATGTGGACGTGGTAGACACATACCCGTATATTCCGACTGTTGATCTCTAAAATTCAGATTTGGAATGTTGATATTAGTAACAGACACATCACAAGCACTTGGAAGGTGAAGAGAACTACTTTCCTCCTTTGGCTGCCGTAACTGTTGTATAACACCATAAAACTGAGACGACTCGTTACCCGTTAGCGATCGCATAGGATCAGGTCGATCACGAGAAGTATATGACCCAAGTTCTTCTAGATATAATTTATTAGCATTTGCAATAAATGATGCCACCTGATCTGAATTTATGGACATGTTAGGATCATTTTCTGGTTTGAAAGATATAGAATTAAGATTATTATCTAGCTGGCGAGTAAATGAAGATGTCGATTGGTAATTGGTATCATTTCTAGAAACTGGTACTCCCAAAAGTGAATTAGGTTGACATGGAGGAGTAGAATGGTTGGCAGGTGACAATAAACTATCAGCCTAAAAAGAAAAAAAAATTGATGCAAAACTAGACATATTTTTGCGATTTTACGCAAATTCAAAGAGATATCTATCGAATAACTAGAAAATATTGCTATGAAAACATACATTTTCGGGTAGTTATAAACAAAAGGAATATCTTACTTTAACAGGACTTGGAGACAGAGGTGAATATACACAGCGTTCTGGACCACTGAAATTGTTTTCCGACACAGATGAACTACGACCATCAAACTGACTAACCGATGACGACGCTGCAGCGGCTGCAGCGGCAGCTTTGGCATGTATAGCCAATCTAATAGCATGTTCAGCGAGGATATCACTACCCAAGCATTTTTCTATTTAAAAAGAGAAAAATAAAAGTCGGTAAAATTTGTCAGAAAAATAATATTAATTTAATATGTGGTTTGTAATAAGACCGTACAGAAAGGGAAAGTTCATACCGGAACTCTTACAATGCTGAAAATAAAATTTAATTCAACTTTTAACAAGATCATGACTACTTTGAAATTGGAAATGTCTTATAATTTTATCAAATGAACTGCTCTAATAGAGCAAAATGCATTGCTAGAGATTTTAGCACTTCACATATCTGTGTTGCGAAGGCGTAGTTAGAACGGTCAACAGTTGTATCTAAGTCCAGTTAGTGAGAAAGGGGGTTATATAGAAACCATGAATTCATTGTTTGTAGTCATCTGTCACATAATTAATCATCATCAATCTCACAATCTCTCTATACATTCCGTAATCTATTAAACATTTGATATTACTTTGTTACTTCACTCACCTTATGCTATTTGTATTTATCTTGATTACTAAATTTCAGACTTGTAAATGATGTATAAACTTACACAAAATAACATTGTATACTAGAAGTTACAACATTAGGAATTTTATTTTATTTTAACCCTGAATTCATACTCAGTAATTCCCGAAAGATGTATTTGCGTTAAACTTGGTCATACCCATGGAACATTAATTAGATTTATAATTGTAGAATCTTATGAGAATTTATTGAAAAGAATATTTTTCATTTAGTTCAAAAAACATGGTTTCTAATATAAGGAAATAAATACTTACCAGAAACACTTGATGATGTTCGAAAATCTTGTACTGGGTGACAATCAAAATTTCCATAAGTTGTAGAAATATGACTAACACAGACAGGTAATTTAGATGGGTCAATAGATCTAGAAAGTTGATAGGATCCAATGTAATCAGCTGTATGAAAGAAATATGATAAAAATATGATATCTAAGCGAACATAAATTTTCACAAATAAACACAGCAAAGAGTCTTCAATCAAAAAGGATTCTAAAATATAGATGAAAACAACCAAAGGTCTCCTATATTCACCAGCTATTTTGCTTTATCTTTATAATGATTACAGAATACTTATCGAAACTTTATATGAACTAAACCAATTCCAAATTGAAGGACTAATCTAGAATTCCCTTTATAAAAACCCCAGAAGAATCATCCTCTTATATTCGTTTGATGATTGATAATTTAGCGACAAGTTCAATATTTTAGACCTAATGTGGTGGGTGCTACTAAAGTCGACAGATATAAGTAGTATGTATCATCAATCGAAAATGTCTGGTGGTAAAAGCTTAAGAAGATCGAAAAGAGAATGAGAACAAAGAATGATTGACGTAGAATCAAAAGAACAATGGATTCTGAGACGATTGACTGACATTTGCAGAAGGAACAGCCAAGTTTGAGACAACTGATTGACAATTTACAAATGAAGTATTTAAGACTAATATTTGAATGATGAATATTCTTTTCTATAAATTCTCTTTAGGTTCTGCAATTATATATCCAAATTAGTAATCTGAAAAACTGCCAGTTTTAATGTGTACCTCTCAGTGTGGCTAAGAAAAGGTCTGGTGAAGAAAGTGAACAGCTTAATATTAGCCCATTTAGTGCAAACTGGTCATAATGTCGGTATAAACCAATCCTTTTCAGTTATTTATCGGGTAAGCTTGTCAGACTTGACGTCCTTCAGTAGCAGTAGACATCCGGATAAAAAAACCGGAGCTATATATACAAAAGAAATAACTTTAATCGCTTCCCTCCATTGTACAACCGCAAAGTCAATTAATTAATAGTAATCTTAGCTATTGAATGACCTAATTTGACTATTGCACTTATGACCTTTTGTAGTCAAATGTAATTGTCTGTTATATTTATGCACAAATCTTTGTATTATTATTATTATTATCAATACTATTGGTGTAACAGCATTATTAAACTCCCCAATACATGATTAGTAAACATCGCATTCATCCCAACTTACTAATAATTTTCTACATAATATAGTCTTCCACTAAACGTTTGATCGAATTGTAATTTTACTATTATTTCTCTCACTCTATCTGACCCTTATTTATTCTGATTATGGATCTTAAATTTTCACTTAACATATAAGCTGCTTCAAGTTAACATTCTATATGAGTCTTGACAACATTAACAATTTTATTCTATACTGTTTGACAATCCTAAATTCACATGCTTTAAACGATGCATTTTACCCTTAACCTGGACAGAATTTATCGAAAAGAATATTCTTCGCTCAAATATTAGTTTTTTTTTAAATGATGGGGATCTTTAAACGATTAAAATGAAGTATTTACTTTATAGTTGTTAGATTTTATATTCAAATACATTCTATTGTCCCCACTTGTGTTCACGTTTACTACGCCAGTATTAATTAAATAGTTTCTATTTCTTTTCGGTCAGTGTTTAGATGAAGAAAGGAAAGTTGGACTTAAGCAACTAAAATAGTGTTAGAAATTTAATTTTGAACTTATAAGTCACTGAAGCGAACCTAAGTTTGTCTATCTTAATTCAAGTCAGCAAGTCGTTTGCAGTGTAGAATCTAGCATATCCACATCAGTTCAAGCTACCATAACAAATCAACACGGCGAGATAAAATTGCCAAGACAAAATTCAATGTAGTAGAATCATCAGCAGAATCAGCAACAGGAAAGAATGAGTTCATGAAAATAAAGAAGAATAATACAATTTCGACACTCGAGATATAAGGAATGACAAAAAAAGCATCTGCGTCATTGCAGTCAATTTTGAGACACATCACCCAGTCGTTCATTACGATAAACATCCGAACCCCAAATTGGTAGTCTGAACCTACCACGACGGTTCAGCCCAACAGTCAGTGACTTCATAAATTTGTACCAACATTTGGTTTGACCTCTCCTAATGTCTATTAACTTATTTCTATACCAGTTAATATTATGCGCCGATGTACGTGGTATATAGTAGTTAGCTATATGTAACAAATGTCCAAAACCACAGCGGTCAGTGAAGACATACTATCCCATAAACTGACTGTCATTTTCATTTAATACTTTGAATCGAACCTCTGTATCGTTCTAATATACTCAAAAAATGTACCGAAGGAATTCACAAACGAATAATAGTAACCAATGGATGTTTTCTAAGGAAACGTCTATCAACCATAAATTAAAACAAGTTGAACGTCTGGGTAGTATACTCATCCTGTATATCAATTTCGCTTATGCCATACGTAACATAAGTTCGCACAAGCGAAACAACCTATTCTAAATCCGTACTAAAGTTTAAGTAGTTGCAAAATATTAAGCTAATGTTACAGCTATAGATGTGTTTTCAAGCTTTGGTGAAATTTGAAAACACCAACGTTTTTTCCAGAAATCTTTCATTGAACACGTTCATCTACATTTTAGTTAGCACCAGTATTACCATAAATTGAGTTGTGTTGTTCATAAAAATCACTGTAGCAATAGTAGTTTATAAGATAGAATAATACAGGATATTCATTTGTAAAATGTATTACATTTAATGAACCGCAAGCAAGACGGTGAATTAATATAATTTATACCATGCTAATACACTTTTCACTGAATTTCAGCGATGATTGCTGTCGAGAACAAGTGTTATCAGTCAGTCAGTAACAACGTGGAACTTCGTACGTACAGATGTTATATAAACTACAACGTTCGAGCAAAGAAAACCTACTTTAAAAAGAAGTAAACTCTTCACAACTGAAAACTTTTAAGTGAAGCACTTATCAAATTATCTATGTTAGTAATGATACAGAAAACAGGGAAATCTTGTACCACAACAATAAGTTTACTGGTCTTTTATCCTTCGATGTGTATTGTGTTGATTAGGTTAAGAAAATTAAGTCTAAAAAACTGTTTATGTTTTCGATATCCACATATTCTCAAAGTAAACAAACAATAAACTACTCCGATATACATCGAGAATAACAGCTTACATAAAAACATAAGATTAAGTGAAGGTCATATAGTCCTGATTAAATAATTTAAGAATATTACCTTGGCGTGAATTTGAGTGATTGCCACCCCAATTAGATGAATCGGCACGATCAAGTTGTTGAGCAGTTAAAAAATCTCCTATAAGAATTGCTTTACTAGAAACAGATGGATCCATGACACGACTATCAGAAGTTTGATGAGAAAGACTTAAAGAACCACATGATGGGACAAATGAAGACATCCACTTTTTTGCTGCATCCACGCTAGCAAAATCAGACAGTTCTGATTTTGAATGTAGGTTACTTGATAAGGAAGCAGTAGATACAGATGACTTATTAACATCCAGTTTATGACTTCCGGAAGAATCAACCGTGGACGAAACAGACATTACTGATGGATCAGTATTCTGAAAAATTTTAAAATTATTTTGAAGTTAAATTCAACTCGTGAATTAGCAAAAATTTCAGTAAAATATGTGAGAGAAATATATTAACGGTTAGGAAATTCATCGGTTTTCGTAACAGTAATGCGGGAAAATATAACGTAATAGCAACCTAGGAAATAACATGAAGTTATCTAATGACTGTCACTTAATATCTTACTGAAATTCAATTTTTTTTGATATTTTTTTTCCTACAAAGAAGGTAAACTAAACTAGGCCAGTCATAAACATAAACAGAGAAAAGTTGTTTAAAAAAATATGACTAAGTTTAATAAATGAATTAGCAGTTATTTGAATACCAAACATAACAGTGAGCTATTGATTACAATACAATATAAACGCACATAAGTGAAATACTACAGGTCAAACATAAATTACAATTAAACTATTGAATGGTTATATGGAAAATGTAGTAACAACCATACCACTCACCATTCCACAAACGCTAGCGCTAACAGCTGCAAAGCGAGCAGCAGCTGCGTAAATCTCAGCTGCAGTTGTCGATGGAAAAACAATAGATGTATCTGGATTATCTGTAGCCATATGACTAGACACTAGACAACTTGGGATCACAGTTGAAATTGAAGTTGAAGGGTTCTTATTATGCTTAAAGTTTGTAATTACATTTGCCATAGTTGAAGTAGATTGAGAGGAACTAGGACCTGTAAATTATGGACATCATATATCAATACAAATATATTTATTATCTAAAATAATAACTGAGCTTGGATAATTTTATGCATTGTCAACACCAACAAGAAATCAAACAAAAACCAAACTTATTAGAAGTCCATAGAGTTATCTTTAATAAATACAATTTAGCAAATAAGTACATATTTATGAATTCAGGTTTAAGTCATATTTTTTATAAGAATTATTGATATTACTCAGTAACTTAAACAGAATTTATAATTGCTACCTACTGATTGGTACTCGATTGTTTTAAGCGTTAGGTGTTTGCTGATGGAGAACTTAAATGTGCGAAGTTAACAGCACTTTTTGACATAATAATTATATCAGATCATTTAATTCACAAAGCAAAACGTCGTGTTATTGTTAGAACTATGAGATTTACTCATAATTTCTTTATAACTGTAAAATGAATAATAAAACACAGAAATATATAAAACCGAGTCAATTTGATAAAACAACTTGATGAGTTACACAGTAAAAATATAGAGAATGCGTTAATAATAGCGACACTAGTTATTCAAAGAAATCCTAACCTTATAAAAACCGATTAAACGTACAGTAATTAGCAATTTATTTTAGAAAATGTGTGTTGTTCGATTACGAAAAATGTTAAGCGATAAAACTAGGCAGAAATGTAGTAAAATCAAAATGGAGTGATGGATATGCTATATAGGTAACTCGAAATAATAAACAAAATTTTCAGTAGAAAATATACGAATGTACACCAATTTACGAAGCAACCATGATATTAACTACATATTTAGTGTCATGATACTATCTGAGTTGTAACTGTTAAAAATATAACAAAATGTTTATGTGTTTAATGCGCACCTTTTACAAGTTATCAATTAATACTTATAATCGAATTTTATCGTCAAAGATAAAGTACTCTCATAAAATCCACTTTGATCAAATTTTCGTATGAAAAAAGAATAGAAACTGTAAAGAATGCGTTACGTAACCGTACAGAAAATAGCAAAATGAAAGTCCATAAATAAAAATATCTCACCTGTCGAAGAGATACGGGAAGACAAAGTTTCAGTAGTGCTAACTTGATTCTCACATGATGGAGGCTGAGGTAATACAAAAATAATACAATACAATCATAATAAAACAACTAAAATAACACTTACATAACAAAAGTTTCAGCTTTTAGAAAAGATATCGGCAAGAAATATCTCTCAGTTTGTGTCAGTTAACTATTTATTATTATTTATTTGAACACATAAATATTGGTACACGGGGGGCACCAAATATATATGCGCCACACAAAACAATGATAATTTGAAGAGAAGGAGAAAAAATATAAAAAAAGTAATGAACATGGGGAATTATAAAAAAAAGAGGGAGAGAACAATGGTGGGGAAAACAAAAAGGTACAATCAGGAGAAATCTTACAGTTAAGGAAGATACAATGACTTTTTATGAAGAAAGTAAAAGAAGGTTACAGCAGGATCGCCACTGGCTTCTATTCTGAGCTATATCTGATAACGTCTCTAGCCACTGCGTTACACCGTCTCTCGGACCCCATCCAGGGAGTCGTGAAGGACCAACAGAAGCTAGCCCTTTGCAGCTTTCTTTCATACCACGACACCATGTCATATACTGGCCACCTCTCCGCTTTTTCCAACCAGTCCCAGAGTCGGCAAATAATGCACGACGAGGAATTCTCTGGGACGACATTCGTAGAACATGCCCAAGCCACCGAAGTCGGTGTTTCAAGATGGTGACACCAATTTCATTATCGTCTCTGTGACCGAACACACGATGCCGGATCTCTGCATTACTGACATGGTGTTGCCACTGGATGCCAGCAATCCTTCGGAGACAACGATGATCGAACACAGAGAGTCGTCTAACATCCTCAACTCGGAGAGGCCAGGTTTCACAAGCATAGAGCAGAACTGCACTCACCGTCGCGTTGTAGATCCGAACTTTTGCAGCCAGACTAACATCACGAAGGCGCCAAAGATGGCCCAGATTGGCATAAGCCGCTCTGGTTTTCACTATACGTGCATTGATCTCATCACTCAAGCCACCACCAGCACTTATGCAGCTACCTAGATACACGAACTTCTCGACCACTTCTATTTGCTCACCATCTAAAGTGAGTACAGGATTAGAATCCTGCCAGTCTTGTAGGAGTACTTTGCACTTCGAAGGTGCGAAGCACATACCATACCTACGGACATTGATTGCCAACTGATCAAGTGCGGATTGCATGGCTCGGACATTATTGCACAGTAAGACAATATCATCCGTATACTCAAGGTCGAGAAGTCTTTCTCCAGGCAACAGATCCACACCACCATTACTTACATCTATCAGAGCTGTTTCCAGAATGTCATCGATGGCAAAGTTGAAGAGGAATGGTGAGATTGGGCAACCCTGCCTAACCCCACTGCTTGAATGGAATAGTGGAGAGAGGTGGTTGTATGCCCTCACTCTGCCTGAGGTGTTTGTGTATAAAGCCTTTAGGATGTTAATAAACTTCTCAGGCACACCCTTCTTCAATAGACAATCCCAGAGAACAGTTCTGTCCAACGAATCGAAGGCAGCCCTGATATCAAGAAACACTACGATTGTTGGCCTTTGATAAGTATGGCGATGTTCTAACACTTGGCGGAGGGTGAAGATATGATCAATACATCCTCGACCAGAACGAAACCCAGCCTGCTCCTCGCGAGTCAATCCTTCTCGGGTTCTGAACAACCTACGAAGTATGACGGAAGCCAATAGCTTGGACGCAATCGGAAGTAGACTTATCCCCCGATAGTTGTTACAGGAACGACGTGAACCCTTTTTAAAGATAGGGACAACTATCGACTCATTCCATGACGTTGGTACACACTCTAGTTCCCAGACCTTTGCAAACAACGTCGTCAGTCCCTTAGTCAGAAAGTCACCACCATCTTTAAAAAGAGCCGGAGGTAAGTCGTCTGGGCCCGGTGATTTGTAACGTTTCAAGAGTTGGAGTTCCTTGCGGACTTCCGCCTCATTTGGTGGATCAGTCGTCACCGGCCATGGAGGGCAGGATAGTCTGACCGAAGTTGCCGGAGCAGCAGGCCAGTTGAACTGCCCTTCAAAGAATTCTGCCCATCGTCCAAGACGTCGATGGATGTTAGTGATTGGCGTTCCGTCATCCTCGCAGATTGTTTCGCTCACACCAGACTTCTTGCTGCCAGTGGCTCGGATGAGTTGGAAGAGCTTCCGGTAATTACCAGATGCAGCTGCTGCTTCCAACTCACTGGCACGCTCCGACCACCAGGCTTCTCGGTCCTTACGCAAGCTTTGCCCGATTTCATTACGTAACATCCTTCGTCTGTGGTCAAACTCACGGTCACCCGGAGTAGACCGACGGGCTTCAATCAGTTGTAAGGAACCAGAAGAAACCCAGTGCTTGTAAGCGGGACGTTTCGCAAACCCACAACAGACTGTACCCGCCACTTTCATGGCGTCATGCAATTGCAACCAATGCTCATCTATACTTTTCGGTGGAATGGTAGCTAGCCTAGAAGCTAGCTCGGTTCGGTACTTACTAGCAACAGAAGTTGCAGCCAGCTTGCTAACATCAATCCTTTGGTGGCGGTCACTTCGTTGTCCACTGAAAAGTAAGGTAAGATTGGCGCAGACCAGGTCATGATCAGAGTCCAGATAGGTACTCCAAAAGGAGCGGCAGTCTTGTACACAACCACGCCAGCGGTAGCTGATCGCGATGTGATCAATCTGTATCCAGGCTTGAGATGCAGAAGGGGGACGCCAGGTGGCACATCGGCGATGACTGTGCCGAAAGTTAGTGCTAGCCAGAAACAGGTTGTGGTCTGTGCATAGTTGCAGTAGACGTTCCCTGTTATCTGTCCTGTGACCAACGAGTCCCCATCGGCCACCTAAACGACTCTCTTCTGTGCCTAGACGCCCGACCTGAGCATTCAAGTCTCCAGCTAGTACTACAATATCTGTCGAACGCACTTTCTGGAGAAGAACAGTTAGCTGATGGTAGAACTCGTCCTTGATTGCATACGGGCTGCAATCTGTCGCGGCATAGGCAGAGATGACGAAAAGACATCGTTTCTCACGCCGATTTCTTCTCACTTTGATGGAACTTTCTAATCTAACAGCACATAACCGACTGTTAATGGGGATCCAGTCGACTAGTGCTGCCTCAGCTCTAGCGCTTAGTGCGACACCAACGCCAGCAAGACTAGACGAAGATGCCTCAGGGTCCCCGGATAAACGCACATAAAACAAGCTTTTTGAAGTGACAGATGGAGAGCGAACTTGTAGTACTTCACCAGAGTCTTGAATACGGGTCTCAGATAGACAACACACATCAATATTAATACTTTCCAAAGACATAGCCAGCTCTATCTGTTGTCCGACCTGCATAAGTGTGCGAATGTTGAAGGCAGCCAGTTTAAATGGTGCACGTGGTTTCAGAAAAACTGCTTCAGTACTCATATTCGGTGGTAACATACAATTTTCAACCAGGCAGTGACTCGAGAACGTTTAGATAAAGCTGAATTTTCACCACAGGCGAGCTGCTGTCTGAGTCGAAACGGATACATAAAGTAGGAGTAAGAGAGGGTGAATAAATGACGTGGTAAAATAATAATAATAATAATAATACCAGTCATTTTAATGTTAGTCGGAGAGAAACGAATATTTTCTATAAGCAGATAGTTCATCATAGTTTTAGTGTGTGGGCTGAGATACTGCCCGGGTGCCCAGACCGAAGCAGTGGTTTTCTTAGGGGGCCACACCCCGAGCATTTGACCTAAAGGTCTAGTCCACAAGGCAGTGGAGCATCGTGAGGAGATGCAGTCCCATGGAAGCCGGTGACCAAAAGCTGGTTCATACGCCATTTGTTCCCGCAGGATACTGGAGCCCATGTGCACTATAGAATTGGGATCCGGTTATAGCGCCGGACGTTCGCTTTTCGTCCTCTCATTTTCGTAAACAACCCAAAGTTTACTGACTTTCCATAAATAACGTAATTCAACAAGACAAAGATGTGCCATTCTAAAAAGTAATTCGAATCCAAAATACAAGTTGTCCGTAAGAAGAACACCTGATTCATGACTGAGTTTAATCCCGCACAATGAGATGAAAATGTTGAACATGGTTCAATAAATTAACATATACCTGATCTGAAAACTATTGGGTTTTTATGAAACTAACTTAATCTGCACAATTTCTGTGGCACAATGTTTATTAATATTTCTAGTCAGTAAGTCATACACAATGCATTAAAATACTTATGTATGACAGCCCAAAATGATACATCATATTAGCACACCCACATAACACTAACCAGACATTTTACAGAATAGTAAAAATTGTAACAGTATAGGGACTTTGGGATTCAAGTTTAAGGGAAAACGAGTGAGAGAACAAATCAGATCCCAGTGGAGGAAGAAATCAGGAAGAAGCGCCCTCACATCAAATCCTCAAGGCCGAAGGAGGAGAGGAAGACCGAAGAACACATTATGCCGGGAAATGGAGATAGATATGAGAAAAATGAACAAGAATTGGATGGAACTACAGAAGAAGACCCAGGACAGAGTGGGTTGGAGAATGCTGGTTGGCGGCCTATGCTCCATTAGGAGTAACAGGCGTAAGTAAGTAAGTAAGTAAGTAAGTAAGTAAGTAAGTAAGTAAGTAAGTAAGTAAGTAAGTAAGTAAGTAAGTAAGTAAGTAAGTAAGTAAGTAAGTAAGTAAGTAAGTAAGTAAGTAAGTAAGTAAGTAAGTAAGTAAGTAAGTAAGTAAGTAAGTAAGTAAGTAAGTAAGTAAGTAAGTAAGTAAGTAAGTAAGTAAGTAAGTAAGTAAGTAAGTAAGTAAGTAAGTAAGTAAGTAAGTAAGTAAGTAAGTAAGTAAGTAAGTAAGTAAGTAAGTAAGTAAGTAAGTAAGTAAGTAAGTAAGTAAGTAAGTAAGTAAGTAAGTAAGTAAGTAAGTAAGTAAGTAAGTAAGTAAGTAAGTAAGTAAGTAAGTAAGTAAGTAAGTAAGTAAGTAAGTAAGTAAGTAAGTAAGTAAGTAAGTAAGTAAGTAAGTAAGTAAGTAAGTAAGTAAGTAAGTAAGTAAGTAAGTAAGTAAGTAAGTAAGTAAGTAAGTAAGTAAGTAAGTAAGTAAGTAAGTAAGTAAGTAAGTAAGTAAGTAAGTAAGTAAGTAAGTAAGTAAGTAAGTAAGTAAGTAAGTAAGTAAGTAAGTAAGTAAGTAAGTAAGTAAGTAAGTAAGTAAGTAAGTAAGTAAGTAAGTAAGTAAGTAAGTAAGTAAGTAAGTAAGTAAGTAAGTAAGTAAGTAAGTAAGTAAGTAAGTAAGAGTGAATTCATTTGCGCCAATGCAAGAGATTCTGAGCTGCATACAGTGATTACGATGGTCGAATAATATATCTTTATTCTTAATGGTTATTCCTCACAACCAAACAGTAGAACAGAGCGATTTCCTGTGCAGTAAACTAGTCCTTTGGTTGACTGACAGATATCTCAAATACACCACCAGTGACGAAAGTTGACAAAAGCCAATCACTATTTTTGAATCAGTGTCGAAGTTATGTCAGACACCAACGTTATTTTTAGGAGATTATATTGGTATATTAACGTAAATACGCCTTTTATTCCGAACCGGGAAGATAGACTTGTTGTTACATTTCGTAGTTAAAAAGTAGAGTTGGCTAAGATATTGCAGCTTACTTTTAACAGATTTGATTATAGGTTGATTGAGAAATGCCGTATAATGTCAAAGTATTCAATTCTGCGATGAAAAACTTCCGTTAGATATGTTATTATCAATCTGCTGTAAATCAAAGTGATTAGTCTACAAATGTAGGTGTTCTTACATTTAAGCCCTTTACTAACGGTTTGTCTGAAAAGAAATAGTCTACATAAACGTTTTCAGATAATGTTTATTTCGATTAGGGATTGATATCTATTCAAAAATTATAAATGTACTAGGCCCTATGTGAAACCGTGGTTTAGTGAATTTAACACTCAGCTTATAACAGTTAAGTCTCATATTCGAACCCAGATCACCTACAAAGGTTTGAGCAGCTGGGGGATGAGTGTGGTGTGTGCTACTTACATCGACATGATTAGTATATAACGATAATCAGGATTAGAATGTCTGGCAGCAGAAGTTCGAGAAGGAAAGAACAGGAACAGAAAGCAATTGGTATGAAAATGCAGGAACAATAAAATCTGAGACAATTGATTGACTTTTTGCAGAAGGAAAAGTCAAGATTAAGACAATTGAATGGTGTTTTGCAAATTAGGTACTGACTCTATGGTTCTCAGGTTATAGTAAAATGTTCTGTAATTTCGTGTTTAAAAACATTCGATTGTCCAACTTGTGTTCTTGTTCACTACGGTATCACTAGCCAAAATTCATTAAACAGAGTTAACAAATATGTATTTGGTAAAGGAATCACATTTGATTTTCGATTAAATCAGTGGAACTATTTTCTCCAACCCCATTTTTCAGGAAAATAAGTATGTATGAAGACCTTTAATCGGTATATGAATTAAATAACCGATAGTTATTCTGAAATGAAATTTGAAGTCGCTGGAGCAGATGAAGTTAAATGTCTTTTACTGACTTTTGACAGCTGATAATATTTAGACCTCAAATTAGAACTTTGATAAAACTTAAGAGAAATATCTACATCATAATAAAGGCTTGTCTATCAAACGAAATACGATCAGTAAATAAAATTGTGAAGATATGTATTTTGTTTAGAAATTGCTAATTCTAACAATTGTTTCATGCACTACTATTTAATATACTCAAAATAATACCTTGGTAAGATTTTTTTCAATAGCAAAGTGAATCAAATCCTTGATGCGTGTTGAAGAACTGGAAACTACTGCAGGATGTGTCCGGGGCTGCTGAGCCAGCTTATTTGAATCAGTCACAGATTCTGCACACTGAGAATTAGTATTAGAAGAAACGGTTACCTGTTTAAAAGAATGAAAAGTGCATAAGATTTGGAACAATATTTCTTAATGATAGTTTGTTCATCGCCAGGTAGAAATTTGGGCGGTAACATATTTTCCAACAGCATGGCAATATGTAAAGATTGAACATCAGAAATTATTAACTACTAATTTCACGTTACTGTGCTGTCCTACAGAACATAAAGAAATGTGTTAAAGCATAACATGTCCACCTACAGCTGGAAACTCTACTGATTCAGTTATATGAAATTATTGGGAAGCTTTCCCCTGGAAAAATTAAGAAAGCTATTCAAATATCACTTACATGTACTCCAGGATCACTTCTTACATTATCTCCAGAACGTGATTCTTTGTCGATCATAGGAACTAAAGTATCATTTTCAGGTACCTTGACATCTACATTCAGGGGATAAAAAATTTCAATGTAGTCTGCACTTAAGAACAAATCGATGACAGTAACAAAGACTGAAATGAATCTTTTAGCCTGTTAGAATTAGACTACTGATAAGTAACTTAAGCAATATGTAATAAACCAAATTCCCGATAACATCAAAACTCTAAAGAATTCTGATCGATTTTGAGCCATATCAGATATATGTTTAACTGTACACAGACATTTGTTTTGTTACCCATTATTAAAGAGAATATACAACTTCAAACCAAATACATGACAGGCGATGCTATATTAACCACATAAAGAAGGCTAACCTCCACTATGTTATCTACCTTTTTATCAAGCCTAACATATATACTCTTGCAAACACAAAAGAACAGAGACCACTTATTACAAATTACAAAAATAACATCAATTAAACATATAAGAACGAACATCTGCTTGCTTCCATTGATGGTCTTGCATTTGACTAAGTGTAATTTATCTGTGTTAGGAGGCTTTTTAATTAATCACATATATACACTTCGATGTAAACTGTAAACGTTATTAAGGTAATTTATGCTCAGACCCATTGAGAGGGTCAACGCAATCATAAGTTTATCTTATATATAAAGATAAATTTCAAATCAACATCGTTAGCAATATTTTCAATGTTTATAACGTGAATTCATTGGAAAGATGTTTGATATCATTAGATCAAAACCAGATTTATTGATGCAATATCATATGGTGAGCAACAAATACTAACATAGGAAAGACAAACCACTCTTGATTACAATACAATCTCATCCCAAAGTGTTGTGAAGGTAACGAAAATCAATCTAAATATAAATGCTTACATATACAAAACAAATATGTATATTTAAAAAAACGGTACAAATGAATCTTCGACTTGTACTTACCCGAAGGAACGTGAACACTATGGGGTTCAACGTTATTTCGAGTAGAATTATTACCACCACGACATCGCCCATGAGATCCAACATTATGGTTATCGATATTAGAATGATTTGTATGATGTGGTGGACGACCCCGTCCGGTTCTATTTCTTGCACCAGTACTCCCACCGCTACCACCATGATGCGTCTCTTTTTTAGTATTTCTGTATCCATCACCATCCTGAAAATAAATTGGGAAAATGCATCAGTATATGTTCAGTGATCTTCAAAATATGAAGAGTAAAGAAAATGTTTGATTGTACTACACTTCCCACTGAAATTTCATCCCCGGATGGTATATATATATATATATATATATATATATATATATATATATATATATATATATATATATATATATATATATATATATATATATATATATATATGATAGAAAAGATATCTAAGATGGCATTAGGACGATAAATGAGAGTGAGTATCTAAGCTGCATGTAAAGCTTTACTGATAAGAAAATACTGTGTCAAAAAAAATTACAAAGCCTAATGAATAAAGTCAGTCGAATAAAAGAAGTTCGTATATCTGGGTAGTTGCATAGGTCCTGGTGTACATTGAAAGTCAGAGTGGTTTGTGCCAACCTGGGTCATCTTTGACGACTTCGTGATGTTAGTCTGGCTGTAAAAGTTCGGATCTACAACACGTCGATGAGAACAGTTATGCTCTATGCTTGTGAAACCTGGCCTCTCCAAGTTGAGGATGTTGGATCAAACTCTGTGTTTGATCATCGTCGTCTCCAAAGGATTGCTGACATCCAGTGGTAACACCATTTAGTAAGGCAAATGTTCGGCATCGTGTGATAAGATACAGCAACGATAATTCAATTGGTGTCAATCACTATCTGCGATAAAATACTAGTAACTTACGAGTATCTTCTACTCTTAATGGCCACATTTCGCAGCCGTATAGTAGAACGGTTAGGGATTCGGTTAAAGCGCCGGACATTCGCTTTTCGTCCTCTCATTTTCGTAAACAATAATAATGCCACGAGAAGGCAGTGAGTAGGACTTCCCTGGCAGGGGCTGTATACGCGTAGCCATGTGAGAGCATTTCGAGAGGAGGAGCGGACTCCCCCCACTCTCGGCTATACCAGGGCATTTGGGGGCAACGCGAAAACTTATGAAGACAATTAGTTACAGAAACAAACATAAGACAAACAAGTGATCAGTCCACGAGTATTATCAAGAAAATTCTAACAAAAACAAATAATTTATTAAAAACAAAGGAATAAATAACATTCGTTCTATGGGCAGTTCAAGTTCTAAATAAATCTTTGCGTTATCACCTAATGCCCCCAAATGCACTGGTATGGCCGAGAAAGGGGTGGGTTCGCCCTCCCTCTCGAAATACTCTCACACGGCCACGCGTATACAGCTTCCGCCAGGGAAGTCCTACTCACTGCTTTCTCGTAGCGAGAGTATTGTCTATTAAAATGAGAGAACGAAAGGCGAATGTCTGGCGCTTTAACCGGATCCCAAATCAATGGTGCACATAGGCTCCAGGATCCTGCGAGAACAAATGGCGTAAGAACCAATTTTCGGTCACCGGCTTCCATGGGATGCATCTCCTCACGATGCTCCACTGCCTTGTGGATCAGATCTTCAGGTCAAAGGCTCGGGGTGTGGCCCCTAAGAAAACCACCTGCTTCGGTTTGAGCACCCGGGCTGTATCTAAGCCTACACACAAATATAATGATCATGAAAATGATGATATTCACTGAAAACTATATTCTCGCTGCGATTTACTATCAAACAATTCACATTAATATAATTAATATTATTATTATTATTATTAATTTTATTATTATTATTATTATTATTATTATTATTATTATTATTATTATTATTATTATTATTATTATTATTTTACCACGTCATTTATTCACCCTCTCTTACTCCTACTTTATGTATCCGTTTCGACTCAGACAGCAGCTCGCCTGTGGTGAAAATTCAGCTTTATCTAAACGTTCTCGAGTCACTGCCTGGTTGAAAATTGTATGTTACCACCGAATATGAGTACTGAAGCAGTTTTTCTGAAACCACGTGCACCATTTAAACTGGCTGCCTTCAACATTCGCACACTTATGCAGGTCGGACAACAGATAGAGCTGGCTATGTCTTTGGAAAGTATTAATATTGATGTGTGTTGTCTATCTGAGACCCGTATTCAAGACTCTGGTGAAGTACTACAAGTTCGCTCTCCATCTGTCACTTCAAAAAGCTTGTTTTATGTGCGTTTATCCGGGGACCCTGAGGCATCTTCGTCTAGTCTTGCTGGCGTTGGTGTCGCACTAAGCGCTAGAGCTGAGGCAGCACTAGTCGACTGGATCCCCATTAACAGTCGGTTATGTGCTGTTAGATTAGAAAGTTCCATCAAAGTGAGAAGAAATCGGCGTGAGAAACGATGTCTTTTCGTCATCTCTGCCTATGCCGCGACAGATTGCAGCCCGTATGCAATCAAGGACGAGTTCTACCATCAGCTAACTGTTCTTCTCCAGAAAGTGCGTTCGACAGATATTGTAGTACTAGCTGGAGACTTGAATGCTCAGGTCGGGCGTCTAGGCACAGAAGAGAGTCGTTTAGGTGGCCGATGGGGACTCGTTGGTCACAGGACAGATAACAGGGAACGTCTACTGCAACTATGCACAGACCACAACCTGTTTCTGGCTAGCACTAACTTTCGGCACAGTCATCGCCGATGTGCCACCTGGCGTCCCCCTTCTGCATCTCAAGCCTGGATACAGATTGATCACATCGCGATCAGCTACCGCTGGCGTGGTTGTGTACAAGACTGCCGCTCCTTTTGGAGTACCTATCTGGACTCTGATCATGACCTGGTCTGCGCCAACCTTACCTTATTGCTTGCAATTGCATGACGCCATGAAAATGACGGGTACAGTCTGTTGTGGGTTTGCGAAACGTCCCTCTTACAAGCACTGGGTTTCTTCTGGTTCCTTACAACTGATTGAAGCCCGTCGGTCTACTCCGGGTGACCGTGAGTTTGACCACAGACGAAGGATGTTACGTAATGAAATCGGGCAAAGCTTGCGTAAGGACCGAGAAGCCTGGTGGTCGGAGCGTGCCAGTGAGTTGGAAGCAGCAGCTGCATCTGGTAATTACCGGAAGCTCTTCCAACTCATCCGAGCCACTGGCAGCAAGAAGTCTGGTGTGAGCGAAACAATCTGCGAGGATGACGGAACGCCAATCACTAACATCCATCGACGTCTTGGACGATGGGCAGAATTCTTTGAAGGGCAGTTCAACTGGCCTGCTGCTCCGGCAACTTCGGTCAGACTATCCTGCCCTCCATGGCCGGTGACGACTGATCCACCAAATGAGGCGGAAGTCCGCAAGGAACTCCAACTCTTGAAACGTTACAAATCACCGGGCCCAGACGACTTACCTCCGGCTCTTTTTAAAGATGGTGGTGACTTTCTGACTAAGGGACTGACGACGTTGTTTGCAAAGGTCTGGGAACTAGAGTGTGTACCAACGTCATGGAATGAGTCGATAGTTGTCCCTATCTTTAAAAAGGGTTCACGTCGTTCCTGTAACAACTATCGGGGGATAAGTCTACTTCCGATTGCGTCCAAGCTATTGGCTTCCGTCATACTTCGTAGGTTGTTCAGAACCCGAGAAGGATTGACTCGCGAGGAGCAGGCTGGGTTTCGTTCTGGTCGAGGATGTATTGATCATATCTTCACCCTCCGCCAAGTGTTAGAACATCGCCATACTTATCAAAGGCCAACAATCGTAGTGTTTCTTGATATCAGGGCTGCCTTCGATTCGTTGGACAGAACTGTTCTCTGGGATTGTCTATTGAAGAAGGGTGTGCCTGAGAAGTTTATTAACATCCTAAAGGCTTTATACACAAACACCTCAGGCAGAGTGAGGGCATACAACCACCTCTCTCCACTATTCCATTCAAGCAGTGGGGTTAGGCAGGGTTGCCCAATCTCACCATTCCTCTTCAACTTTGCCATCGATGACATTCTGGAAACAGCTCTGATAGATGTAAGTAATGGTGGTGTGGATCTGTTGCCTGGAGAAAGACTTCTCGACCTTGAGTATACGGATGATATTGTCTTACTGTGCAATAATGTCCGAGCCATGCAATCCGCACTTGATCAGTTGGCAATCAATGTCCGTAGGTATGGTATGTGCTTCGCACCTTCGAAGTGCAAAGTACTCCTACAAGACTGGCAGGATTCTAATCCTGTACTCACTCTAGATGGTGAGCAAATAGAAGTGGTCGAGAAGTTCGTGTATCTAGGTAGCTGCATAAGTGCTGGTGGTGGCTTGAGTGATGAGATCAATGCACGTATAGTGAAAACCAGAGCGGCTTATGCCAATCTGGGCCATCTTTAGCGCCTTCGTGATGTTAGTCTGGCTGCAAAAGTTCGGATCTACAACGCGACGGTGAGTGCAGTTCTGCTCTATGCTTGTGACCGTTGTTGCTACCTTGACGTGGTGGTCGGGCTTGCCTATCGTGATGAAGCAACTGAGCTATACTGGCTGGAACAACCGTTCCTCAAGGTCCTACCATGCCAGACAGGTCGGTTGAAGAGCGGTAAGACTAAAAGCAACAAAACCAAGGTCCGAAGGCGAAGTCATACTGATGACTGTACAGAGGTGTGACAGCAGTAAGGTGTTTCCTTCAGACAACCAGCATAACAGCGATGCTGCCTTCCCAAAAGGAGGGGAGGGGTTAGAAAAGGTTGACCCTAAAAATGCACACCTCGCCTTATCCCACGGATATCCGTCTCCGGCGGTAAGGTCTCAACAAGTACGGAGCTAACACAAAAATACATTTATTCCTGTCACTGCTTTACTCGACTGGGTATATTGCTGATGGCAGATATTGTACGGTGTACTAAGTTCTAGCTGTCAAAAGTCCACTAAGTAAGTCTCACAGCTAATTTGACTCTGTTTATACTAAGAAAACGCGGAATTGGTCAAAATGGCAATTCTTACTTACTCTTTCGAGCTTATGAATATACTAGTTCAAGGGAGTGGACGAAGTTGACAATATTTTGTGTTAAATAATCGTCGTATAGCATAAGCTGGCATTCTTCGCTACGTAGGACGGAAGACTGGTCGAGGAAAATATGAATGAAATATTTTCATGTTCTTTCGACACTCATTTTTTCAACAGCTAGTTGGAATT